CATAGGCTTCAAAACACCTGGCATAACCTGAAGTGGGGAAATCAGTTGCTTATTTGTAACAATGGAAATGGGATGACAGCCAACAGGAGGGGATTGCCTGGACACTGTCTCATACTACAGAGTAGGGGGAAAGGCAAAAAATCAAAAGAGGAAATACAGACACACACGACCTAACAACAGGGTTACATTCAACAAATGCATTGTTACGGGATTTCATCACTTTATGCACATCACAGAGTGCAGTTCTACAAACCGAGGTGGTATCAATCACTCAGTGTGGTGTCTCCATGCAGTAACAAGTCACAATAAACACGCCATGTATGAGGCTGCTGCTGTGACACAGTATACTGTTGGCAGCAAATGTTTTATTGTGGAAAAAACTGGAGTATGCTTTGTGAGGTGATCACAACTTAACAGTGAATGTTTAAATTAAAAAAAACTTTATTACAGCAAAAGATGCACTGTCAGGAATTATGGGACAAGTGCATTCAATAAAATGCAGACAATACAAGAGGAACTCATGACAAAGTGTCTTTTACTGTAATAAAATTTCCAACAGTATTTCCTCATTGGTCAAATGTTTATGGCAATTTTTGTCAAATAAAAAACAATTGTAGTGGGTCTGTACCCTCCTTGCTCAAGAGATCTGGTACTCTGTCTTCTGGCTTTTCCCCAAAGTTAAAATGACCATGAAAGGTAAATATTTTAAATTGATTCAGGATGCTGAATTAACCAAGATGGTACAACTGAAGACACTCATGAAAGAGGATTTCCAGAACTGCTTCAGAAAGCAACAAGAATGGTGGAATGTGTGCTCAAAGCAACAGTGAATATTTAGAGGGAGATTAATGGTAAATTACTGTAAAAAAATTAAAACTTAGTCACCATATTTTTAATCACACCTCATACAATGAAAAGTATAGTACAGTAATTCATAAGCCAGTAACGTAGTTGTTTATTAACGATGGCCAGTTTGGTGTATTTGTTTGGTCCAACACTGTCACACACATGCTAGTAATGCCCTGAGCTAATCCCTTAGTGACAGGACTTTTCAGCTCCATTATCATGTGGCCCACGCCCATACAGACTTGCCCCATTTACAAGACGGTCTGTAGATGAGGGAGAGGGAAGTCTCTAAAGGTGAGTAGTCTTGCAGCCGCTATTCTCTGTTGGTCAGGGAGAAAATAGAAGGCTACAATTGCTTACTTGGATCCACAATCTTGTCTTGAGGAATTTTATGGTAACTCAGGAAAGCCAGCTTTCATTCCAAATGCTACAAAACTCCACAATTTGAATTCATGTGAAACTTACTGCATTTAAAGATAAGTCTAGAAACTCAGTGCACTTAAAGAAATAATTGAGAATAATCTTGTCCAGGGCTATGACTGAGATCTAAAATGTCCCCTAAAAGGCTCATGGTGGTAAAGGGTTAGTGGCCACCACATGGGTTTGCAGAAAGTTATCAGACGGTGAGTGCTCTAAGCAGAGAGGAATCCATGGAGGTTGTGGGGGCACGGGCTGCCAGGTGGTGGGGCCTGCATGGGGAAGCAGGTCACTGAAGGGTGTGCCTGTGCCCTCAGCTTCCCCTCGCGGGCTCATTCTGGTCTCCAGGCTCCCTGGCTGCTGGGAAGTGAGCAGCATCCTTCTCCCACCCTCCTCTGCTGTCCTACCCTGTCTCACCTTTAGTGCCTGGAAGCAAGTGAGTGGACTGAACCCTCAAGAGCCCAAATAAATCTTTCCTCCTTTAAGTTGTTTTCCTAAAGTATAATGTCACAGTGAAAAAATGCTGACAAGCACAGTTTCATACAAAAACATCCCCACGTCTAGAAGGAAAGAAACGGGAGAAATAATAGTAGAGAAAAATCACTCAACAGAAAAAAGGAAACCAGTAACTCCATGAAAACTGCAACTACACTGTGATGCCTTGAAGATTTAATGAAATGAAAAATGCATACAGATATAGGTGATCAGAAACATCGTGTTAAAACAACAGAAAAAAGGCAACATAAACTAAAGTGAGAAAAGAAATGGAAAGGAAAAAGTAGACATTCTCCAGAAAAAGGCTATCTTACAAGAAATAGGGAACAGGAAACAAAAAAGATAAAGAAGATAAAATGGAATGATTTTCTCACTGTAACTCAAAATACAGTACTTTAAATTGTAAGCTCAGCACTGGGCGCATAGTTTGGTGATAAAGTGTTTCCCTAGCATGTGCAACACTGTAGGCTTGAATCCCAGAAATACAAAGATATAAAGATAAAATATTTGTGTTTACAGGTAAATACAAGAATAAGCAAGGCAAATTCATACAAAAAGTTAAAACTGTGATCAGGAAATGGAGAAATATACCATTTGGACTTTTTATTTTTCACTGCATCTCTATATAATTTTATCCTTTTTTACTAGCATGTTTGTAGTATTGATGACATTTCTCATAGGGAGTTGGTAAATACACAAAACACATCTTAATTTTACTTACTTGTTGTTCCCCTCTCTCCTCATCCCTTCATCTCTTGATACTGTTCATTTGCAGAAAATCTATCTCTGAATTATCTTTCTATACTTTTTCTCAGATGCAATATTTATGCAATATTAAGCTTGTGTGTCTGGTTTCACCTATTTTCCCAAAGTATGTTCACTTTCCTACAAATGACTCAAATTCATCCTTCTTTATGGCAGGTTAGTACCCAAGTGTGTATAAATGCCATTTTTTACCCATTCACCTATGGACATATTAGCCAACTCCAAGATTTAGGTATCATGAGTTGTCCCGCTATAAACATGGGTAGACATGCATCACTGTAAATGATGTCTTTAACTCATGCAGGAAGACATCTAGAAGGTAGTTAGCTGAGTGGAATAGAATTTCTGTAGGAAATCTCCATACTGATTTCCACGTTGTTATACTAGTGTGCTCTCTCACCAACAATGGAGTAAGTTTCCTTGCATTTGATTTCTTGATGAGTTATTCTTTTTTTTTTGTATTTTACCGGTACCAGGGATCAAACTCACGACCACAGGCTTGCAAGGCAGGTGCTTATGCTGCTGAGCTAAATCCCCAGCCGCCTATGACAGTTATTCTTTCTGGAGTAAGAATGAATTTCAGAGTTGTTTTAGTTTGCATTTCTCTAACGGTCAGAAGTGTTGATATTTTCAAGTGCAGTAATGCTTCGGTTCACAAATACTTGTGAACAAAAGTGTTCAACAAAATTTTGCTTCCATTAGCAAATTCTCCGTCAGGTGACACACACAGTAGCAGCCATTTTCCCCAGAATCATGGAATGATTTAAGTTCATTTCCTGAGCTAGCACCGCATTCATTAACAACTTGTACTTCTGAGAAGTATCCGTTCATTTTAGTTGCCTATTTGTGACTGTCTTCTATCTAGTGGAATCTAGTGTTTCTGAGTTTGTAAATTATTCTAGATATTAGTCCCCTGTCTGAGTAGGTTTTTTTGTAGGTTGTCTCTTCATTCCTTTAAGTTTCCTATGCTGTGTAGCTTTCTAACTTGACAAAATCTACTTTGTTGATCCTTGATGTTATTTCTTGTGCTGTTGGACTCTGTTCAGAAAGTGCTTGCCTATGTATTTAAGTTTTACCTTTTTTATTGTCCAGCAAATTAAGTGTTTTCATTTTAATATTTGGATCTTTGATCTATCTTGATTTTATTTTAGTAATGCTTAGAGATATGGGACTAGATTCAATCTTGTGCATGTATAACCATTTTCCCAGCACCACTTGTTAGAGGCTATCTTTCCTCCACCATGTGTCTTAGGTTGTTTTGCATCTGTACCATTCACCCATACTGTCTGCTTTTAATCCAATACTGTACTGCTTTTTTCCTACTCACTGTAGCTTTGTATCATAATTCAAAATCCAGATTGTGATGTCTCCTTCTTTGTTCTTGTTGCCCTGAATTACTTTTTGTTATTCCAGTCTCTTCTGGTTCCATATGAATTTAAGATTTTTTTCTAGTTATGCGAGGAATGTTGTTGGGATTTGGATTTGGATTACATTAAATTTATATAGTTCAACAGAATTTGAATTAAATATTTAAACCAAAATTATAATTAAGAAGCTACAAATGGGACAAACTACCGTAAACACAATGCTTAGATATTGGTGTCCTCCAAAAGCTTCACACATCTGGAAGGTGACTGGATCCTGGGGGCACTGTACTCACCAGGTTTAGTCTACTGATGCATTCATAGCTAACTGCAGTTAGGAGGTGGAGCCTGGGTAGAAGGGGTCACTGGGGCATGACCTGGAAGGGTGCCTCTCCCTCTCTAGTTCTTCCCTTTATACTCTGCTTCCTGGCTGCCTCAATGACAGCAGTTTTCCTTGGCCTAGGCCCTTGCACCATTCTTACCCTGCCTTGGAGCTGGCCAATGGACTGAACCTTCTAAAAGCTGTAAGCCAAAATAAACCTCTTTTCCTTTAAGTCGTGGGTTTCATCTTTGAGACCATACTATTAAATGAAATAAATCAGGCATACAAGCTTAAATACCACATGGTTTCTCCTATATGAGCAACCCAAAATATACGTAAAGAGCAAAATTAAATATAATAAGAAATAGGAAGGTAAATTTTTTACAAAAGGCAAGGGGACTGAGAGAAAAAGGGGCGAGGAGACAAAGAAAGAACTAAGATGTATTATGTATAGGTACCAAGTCTGCACAAGGTGTGAGTATCCAGCACTCTGTCCCAGTGATGAGAAAGGAAGACACATGGATAATAGAACTGAAGTGTAGTGGGCAGCACATTGTTAGTTACTCTGTCTCCTAGGACCAGAACACTGATTCTGATGACATTTCCCTCTTCTTCCTCTTCTCATCATCATGTGCTTTAGGGCAGTGATTCTTAACTAGGTGCAACTCTGCCCCTCCACTCCTTCCCGGGCATTTGGTAATATGTGAAGATACTTTGACTAGCTTTCTAGTTTGATGCTAAATGGAAAGAGGTAAAGAACAGAAATAAAAATAATTTTCCATTTAAATCACTGACCCTGGAAAGAAGATATTTTATTCAGACCCACTTTAAAAAATGAGTAGTTTTCTTAACCCCCATAACGAGCATATTAAGTATGTTTTCACACACAGAAGACAGGTACATTCAATATTTACAAGGCATATCTTCATATAATATACATTCATGTGAAATATATGAATTTAATCGTACATACTTGTGACTTTTGCATCTGGTACCTTTTTTTTTTTTTTTTTTTTTTTTTTTGGTCTTTTTCCTTTTTATCAGTACCGGGGATCGAACTCACGACTGCCTGCTTGCAAGGCAGGTGCTTATGTCGCTGAGCTAAATTCCCAGCCCCTGCATCTGGTACCTTTAAAACCACTAAAATGTAATACGCTTATTTTCTAAAAGTCAGTTTATATATGTTGATTTAACCTTAGAAGAGCTTCTTTGAAGAATTATAATAATCGTTATTTATATAATGAAGTTCTAGTAGCTTTTTTAAAACATAAGCTTCAAGCTAAAGTGTTAGCAATTTATCAATGCATGGAATTACAATGCATGGAATTCTTGGTATGCTGCACTGCTTGGTGTATAGTTTAATTTCAAATGGTTCACAATTATTTGTGCATTGGGGGGAAAAAAAGCACCAAGGATAATGATTTTTTACATCACAGATGATTCACAATATTATAATCTCAATTTCCATTCAAAATCTAATCATTCAAAAAGACCAGTTACTTCAAATGCTCATTCTTTAAGCTTTCTCCATGAGATCAAGTGATATATTAGACATAAGAATATAAATGATAAAATGTACTACTAATGTAACAGAATTCAGCTTAACATTGACAATTTGTTTCTCAGCAGAATTCCCTGGATCCAAAAACAACTCTGAAAATAAATGCAATAATATATAAACTTGTTAGCTGTATCTCTTAGAAAGAAACTCCAAAGGTACCTTTCCAGTCATATTTAAAGCAAAAACTTCTTGAACAAAGCACCTCCTGTGGTAAGGAAATATATAAAGAAAATATCTTCTACAAATTAATATACAATTTTATGTACATAAGGATATAGTTCTCCCAAGTGTATGTGCAATATTTTAAGTAACATACAATAAAAAATTCAAAGCACAGACTGAAAATATAATGCATGTGTTGATCCTCCAGTTATTAGATACTGCAGCATGTAAGTTATTGTAGCGATTAAGAAAAATGTTCTAATGTAAGTGGTCAGTGAGATTTTTTTGGAAACATACTTTTAAAAACGTTCCCAAATGTAATCTTGCCAGTCAAATTTCAACATAAAATAAAGGTTCTTACAGCTAAGATGCAGTCTCATGAAAATACAAGAGTATACAGAGGCCACATCATCAGATTCTGAACTTTGGTACAGGCCAGCAAAATGTTTTTCATACTCACAATGAACAGACTTTTATCACAAATTTTGGTACTCACAAAATGCAGTAAGGTTATTTTAAACATTTTCGGATCACGACAAAGTTCCTTACCTGAATATAAACAATTGTATAGATTTAAAAGGATTTTTAAATGAACACAGGGAGGTCTAAGGAGAAACATACATTACTTGCTTTGACAGTGTTCAGCCAACCTTATGTCTTTTTCTACTGAACAAAGTTCCAATTTCTGCTAAGAAGGTTTTATTATTTCTTTTTCCCAGTGTTTTTTTTATATTCTTCTGTTTTGCTAGAGATACTCTTTTTTCGAGATGAGGTATTAGATGTATTAGAAGGTCCACTGGTAGCTATGCAGAAAAAGAAAAACTTGCTTAGATTTACACAAGCAATCTCAAATCAAATCTCAATCTCAAATCAAATAATACTGATGAGTGGCAGAATAGTTCCTGTTAAAACTGTGACGTAAATTGAGCATTATAAACATTTAATATACCACTTTTTACTTCTTAGAATTCAACACAAATATAGAAAAATGATGACAATCAGTTGTATTCACAAAATAAATCTCTCATTTTCCTCTATAATCTTCCTAGAAAAATGGTTTCCATAATTTTAAACTACTACTATTCATTACACAAATGGCTTTGCAAGTTATACCTGTGGCCTTGGTCTTTTCCCTAAGCTTAAGATATATATATATATATTCAGTTGCTTACTGGAACTCTATAGACATCTAACAGGAAATAAACCCAACTTCTTCATTTTCTGTGTAAACAAACATCTATTTTCTCTTATATCTTCCCTCTCATCACTATCTAAAAAGTTAGAAGGTTAGAAAACTAGAAGCATTCTTGATTTAAGACTCATTCTTCCATATCTGAACCAACATCAAGGCCTTGTGCATTACAAAAGTCTTTTTAGGTGGAGTTATATTCCTTTTACTATGATGCGTACATTCCTGTCAAGTCAAAATTCTGCACAAAACAAGAATACACCATACAAGATACAAAGAACAATTACCTAAACACACTAAAGGATGAAAAAAGTCACAGTTACTGAAGAATCAAAATATGTAAGAAAAGAATAACATGGGATTTCTTTTAATAACTTTTAGCTTGATAACAGGCTCCATTCTGCACCTTGTAAAATGGCTAAAATTCCAATACTAAAGCCACTTTTCCTAGCACGAAAAATCATATAATAAGATTTGGGGCAGACAAGAAACACGGGGGACAAAAAGTGAGGCAGAAAATCCTAGGAAGGGAGAGACTGTGATTTAGTCAGTCAACCTTATCATACACTATCCAAGCGGCACAGAAAAGGCTATGAGAAAGGAACTGAAATCTGAGCTGTTCCCTGCTTCAAGGACACAGTTCTGCAATTGGAGTTCAGCTACCATTAACTCTGCTTTAAAAGCAAACAGCCAACATTCTCGGGAAGAACATAACTGAGCCACAGAATCCAAAGTTTCTACAATTTATTATTCATAATATCTAGGATATAATCTAAAACTACTCAATGTACTAAGAGACAATAAAACTGCTTCCTTTTCAAGAATGGACAAAATGACAGAGATTAATCCTAAGGCGAGTTATTATTTTAGGATTGACGAAAATATGGTTACAATGAATGAAAATGTAGAAGTCTTTGAAAAAAAAATCAAATAGAATATTTCAAGTTAAAGAACAGATGGAATATCTGAAATAAGAACTGACTGGGCGTAACAGCAAAATGAACAAAACAGGTAAAAGAAATATTAATTAGATTATCACACAACAAAATGAAACAAAAGAATGAAAATATGAAAAAGAAAGATCATTCAATAAACTGCTAAAAACCAACAATAAAAACATTGAAAGCATGTAGATTAAAAGAGAAAACTGCCTAAATAAGAACATTCAGATTGCCAAATACTTTACATTGGTATCAATGGGAACCGGAAGACAACAGAACAGTATCTATAAAGTGATGAAAGAAGAAACTTTACTTGGAATTCTCTATCCAACAAAATCACCTTGAAAAAACTCAGAATAAAGACATTTTCAGAGTGAACAAATTGAACAGAACACAATGCCAGCAGGCTTGGTGTATAACAAATGCTAATGAGCTTCAGGCTGAAGGCAAATGAAACCAGATAGAAACACAGACTTCAAGGAGGAAAGGAAAGGGAAGTATCAAAAATGGCAAACAGGTAGATAAATACAAGCTTTTTTCTCGTCTCAATTTCTTTAAAATAAATGGGACTATTTAAGGAAAATACCACATTACTGTAGTAGAGTATTTATAATATATGTGGAAGTCTCATACCCACATGGGTATGCTATATGTAAAGGGTAGAGAAGAACGTAAACGAACTTAAATAGCTAACAAACTTTCTAAGGGGATACATAATTAAATGTTAAACTGTATGTTTAGAACAACAAATAAAAGAATAATGTAAAAATACAGTGAGTGATAGTTTGGTTCACAGATGCAAAGAAGCATTTGGCAAAATTTTGGTTTTGTTTGCAGACTCTGCATTGGATGACAAACACCACAGCGGCCATCTTTACCAGACAAACATCAATGTGGCCATCTTTTCCAAAATTGCAGAGCAAATGAAGTTTCTGACTGGAGGTACCACTGATATGGCAGAAAGCCAAAAGATAAATTAAAATGAAATTCTAAAAAATATTGAACACAAATCAAGCAGAAAAGAATAAAGGAAAAATAACTACAATGAATAAATAGAAAATACAACAAAATAAAAGACATCAATAATTACATTAAATGCTAAAGGCCTATATGCATTATAAGTATAAAGCAGATGATAGAAGGACTATTTAAAATGTCAAATATAAACTGTCTACCAAAATACACTTTAAATATACAGACATTACTGTCTGGTTATCCAGACAGTACTGTCTAGTTAATCTAAAAAAGTTAATTATCATGTCTTAAAATAAACTTTAAGGCAAAGTAGTAGTAGAAATCAAAGACAGAAATTTCAAGACAATAAATCAAGATATTAGAATGAGCTAAACAATCACATATTTACATACTTAGTAACAGACCTCCAAAACACATTAAGGCAAAATTTACCAAATTAAAAGAAAAACTTGATAATTTTGCAGTTATTAGTGGATATTGCTCTTAATATACTTGATAAATTATCCAGTCTGCCTTCCTGTTCCTATATACAGTCAAAAATGAAGATGTGAACATTACTAACAGTCTTCATATAATGAATAATAAAATGATCCACTACAGAATGCCAATTTTTAACTGTATTTGTAATAAGTTAAGTTAATCCAAATGTTAAGTCCTAAAATGAGTCTCACATTTAAAACACTGACACAGTGTATGCTTTCTAATTGTAATAAAAAATTATTAGGGAAAAACTTACAGTTTTAAATGTATATATAATAAGAGAAGAAAGATCTAATTATCAATGACCTAAAAACGGTAAGCAGAGGTTCAGAATAAACTTGAAGTAAACAGACAGAAAATTAAAAGATCAAAAATTATTTAAATTTAAAACAGACCAAAAAAAAAGGTTCTCAATAATAAGGGTAGTATTTTGAAAAGGCCAACAAAATCAATAAATATCTGTTAAGACTGACCAAGTACAAAACATAAAGTATTATCAAAAATAACAGAGGTTATTACTACACTCGTTAAAATGATCATAAAGAAGCAACAAAATTGACAACTTAGACAAAAAGAACCAAGTCTTGAAACATACAGGTTACTAAAACTGTCCAAAAGAGGAAACAGTTTTACTGAACATTTAAGGAAGAAATCACAATCTACAAAATTGTATTCAGAAAATACAACAGGAGGAAGTATTCACAAATCATTTTATGAAGACAACATAACCCTGATAATGAAACTCGAAAAGGACCGAATTAAAAAACTACAGATCAACTTCCATTACAGATGCAGATACAAAAAAAGCGTTGAAACTGAACTGAATCTAGTTTATTTTGGGGGCAATTTTGGGATGTTTGTGTATATCATACATCACTACCAAGTAGGGATCATTTCAGGAATGCAAGGTTGGCTTAACATTTGAAAAATCAAATATAATACACAAAATCCCTCATTCACTGTATTACTTAAAATTTTTTATGAAGAAGTGATATATTATGTTTAATATAAAGAGAACAACAATGTACTATGATTCAAAAAACATTCAAATCCTAGGTCTACAACTACTATGTGAATTGGGACAAATCACAACCTTTCTAATGCTTGCTTATCAGTAATGGACATAAAAATGGTATTAACTTCTATAGTAAAAGGAACTACACAAATGTTAGTCATGTGTTATATATGGAATGCATCAGAAGTTACATTTAATATTCAGTATTTTTAATTTCATAGCATCATATAGTGATCAATTAGAATGTATGAGATTTAAACTACTTATTGACCCTGATTTATAATGCCTGGTAAGCCGACTGTAATCAGGTATATTAGAACAAATAAGTAGTAAAGAGTATCACAGAAGTTTTTGTTTTGATAACCAAAAAACATCAATGGATGTGGTTTGGTTAGATCTAGAAGAACAATAATGAACCAAGAATTTTAGAAGAAAAATATGGCATGAGTGCTAGGGAGATTTATTTAGACAGGAAAGTTTGGCTACAGTCAAACAATAAAAGCCATGATTTAGTGAATTTTACACTGTGTGCCGAGGACTTTATATAAGTTATTGCATTAATCTCTGACAACTCTATAGGGGAGGTCTTACTGCACTGATTTTATAAACATGGGAGTAGGGATTAGTGAAGTTAAGTAACTGACCCAAAGTCAAATAGCTAATAAGGAGCACAGCTCAGATTTTAATGTAGGCCTTGTTGACTGATTCCCAAGCACAAATGCTTAATTAAAAGAATATGCTGACAGCAAAGAAAGGCAGAAGAGAATGAAGATACTTGCACTGAGATTCCAGTAAAAGCATTAAAGATATATGGAATTCTCTGAGGAAAGAAATGTAAGGTAAGAGAAAATGAGAATAGTTAGAATGTCCCTATCTGGGATAGGAAAGTAAAAAGTTCAAGGATCATCAAATAAGGAAATAGAATCGGAGAAATGGGGAAAAGAACAAGACAGGATAGTATCTTGGAAGTCAAGGTAAGAGAGTAATTCAGAAATAGTGACACCATAATCAAATGTGCCAAGAAGTTAAAATAGAAAAATAACGATAAAACATAGCTGCATTTGGCAGTCAGGTAATCAGACCAAGAATGGAGAAATAAAAATTACTTTAGGTCGTAAAAAAAAAAAAGTGGATACAGAAAGATGCCTTAGGCTCAAAGAACAGGAAAAGAATAGGCTCCATAAACCAGTTCAAGGAAAAGTTTGAGTACAAAATATATTTTAGTAAACTAAATTGATATAGTTGTGATATATAAATGGAAGGAGGAGGGGAAACAACTGATAAAACAAAGAAGGGAGGGGAAAACAACAGACACTAAAATGCATACAAACAGGCTACAATAATACATCTTGAGCTCTTAGGGTCATTTTTTTTTTTTTTAAAGTACTAGAAAGTGCAATAATCATACTGAGAAACAGATTTCACATTTAAAAGTAAATTATTATCACTTTTCTAACTGCTGTGCAGAATCCACAAACTCAGACACATCCCTAACCTGGTTTGTTGCTTGCTTTCGTGCCCTTTAAGGTAGCTGGTGGTGTTGGGAGGATCTTTGTAGGTGTGTAAGTATTCAAAGACACTTTTCTTCTCATTACTGGACTGGAACGTGAGTCTAAAACAAACAAACAAACAATGTTAATTTAATAATTTCCAGCCAACTGTATGTTAACATTACAGAGCATTTCTTATGGCATAATACAGTAAACTCTTAAAATCTGTGTAACAATAGTAGAAATCAGACAAGGCAAGGTCAACAAATTTAGCAAAGCCATCTATCTTTAAAAAAGGTAGTTCTCTCATGTTCTACCCAAATGGTAGTTTGTTGATATTGTATGTCATAAGCATTTTAACAATATACACCAGAAGAATGCTGACAAGAACAGAGAAACAGGCTTAATTTTAACCTCCCCGCCAATAAGAAATAGATGGAGAGAACTGATGGTATAGAGAATCAGTCTTAATAAGAATAGGAGAGTCAGGGATGATTCATCGACAAACAGAACAGTTTATGAAACTATCATATTTAATAATAAACTAACTATACCACAAATGGAGACACACGTCAGATGCATTTTTGACCCTGCTCAGGTTTACCATTATGAAAGGGAGGGATCTTTAAAGCTATTTCTCCTCCCACAGCTCCACCTCCAAATGGAGGTGGGGAAGCTGAAAGATGCAAAAAGGAAAAGAGTAATTCTTAATTATGGAGTCTCAGGGGAAGGACAGGCTGGGGTGAGCTCACTGGGGTGAGCTTCTGTGTTCTAAACAAAGGAGGCAAAGGGCTATAAAGCCAGGGTGGCAATCGTGCGATTTGGGGGAGATCCCTACAGCGATATCCAGAGTGCTTTTGAAAATCAAGATGTGGTCCAGAGATGGTAAAATGTGCCTTCAGGGGTTGATACCTACACTGAAAGAATACAAGCTTTCTGCCACAGGTCAAAGCAGTCACTAACAAAAAAGGTTACCAGTGACAAAAAGAAGTTCCTAAAGCATCCTATGAAACACTTTCTTAATTCTTTCTGCTTGCATATTTTTCTTTAACTTCCATCACTAACAATCTTAGTTAATATTTCTATTCCTTTTCCTTAAATCTGATAGTCACTGACCCATTGTAACTTAACTTTTAGTTATGATAAAATTTTATGAGTTGTATGAATTTCCTAGGGGAGTAAAAATTCTCCTTGAACACCAGAGGATTAACAATGTCTTTTCTCTTTTTACAAAACCACAAAATCAATTTATTTCCAGGTATATGAAGCTACTTGCTTAGCAACTCATAGAATTAAATGTAAGCAATATTAATATACTTTATGAAGTTACATTACAAAATGTAAAATTCAGATACTTCTTTTGCAACCGGCACAGAATGTTCTTTAATATTCAAAAAGAATGAAAAAAACCTAAAATCTTAGACGACCTGGATTTTAGTGTTATTTAACTACACATTAGTTGATTATCTTTATGTCCCCTCCCCCGCCACAGTGAACTTTTCTCAAATGAAATCTTAAATAAAATGGACTATAGCAGATATTCTGGGGGGAACACAAGCCCTCACCAGTCTCTATCCTTTTCTTCCTCATGGATTTCCAAAGGCTCTGGGGAAGACAGCTTAAAGAACAATGAACTAGATTATCTCAAAAGCTTTTACGATTCAATGAACTGCCTTAAATAGCTTACTTTCTCATATAGTTCTTTTAATAATCAATACCTTGACATTTTAAGAGTTAAAGGGATAATTGTACTGATGTTACAGAGAGGAACTAAATGGAAAAAGTGGCAAAGAAATCTAGTGAACTAAACACAAAAAGCTGTTGCCCTGAAATGACAGTACCATAGAATAAACTTTAAAAGAACTCCAAAAGCACAAGAAATAACACCAACAAATGAAAAATAAGATTATATTAAATTAAAATCAATATGAGATTAAAAAGCTTTTTGCAGCAAAATAAACTAAGTAGACACAATCTTCAGAGTGGGAAAATTGTTTGATATCTACTTTTAGGATAGAGGACTAATTGCCAGGCAGGGTGGCACACAACAGCAATCATAGCACGTCAGAGGCCGAGGCAGGAGCACTGCCGCAAATTCAAGACCAACCCAAGCTACACGGCAAGCCAAGGCCAGGCTACACTACACTGCTAGGCTCTGTCTCAAAAACAAACACAACAAAACAAGCAAGATGCCCAAAAGACAAATGAGCCAATAAAAATATGAGAGAAATGAAACGAAGAGACGCTCAAAAAAAAAGAAGCATAAATGGCCAAGAAGAATCTGAAAATACACTCAATATCTTTAGCTATTAAGGAAATATAACAACCCTAAGATTCTATCTTAATCCAGTAAGAACACCTATCTCTCTCTCTCTCACACACACACACACACACACACACACACACACACACACACCACACTAGCAAGAAGAATGTGTGGAGAAAGGAATCCTGCATTGTTGGTGGAAATGCAAACTAGTATAAGAGTAAGGAGAACACAGTGTAGAGAGTCCTCAGGAAACTAAAAACAGAAATTCCATTTGACCCACGTACACCTCTTGTGGGTATCTGCCTCACAAGTTAAAGACATCATATTGTAGAGATACATGTATACACCTGAGTTTAAGGCAATGCAATTCACAACTGTCAAACCATGGAACCAGTCCAGATGTCCAACAGCAGGCTAACAGAAAAAATATAAGTGATATATTTACAAATTGAGCATTATTCAGCCATGAAGAAAAATAAACTAAAGCCATTTGTAGGAAAACGGACAGAACTTGGAACCAAAATGTGAAGTGAAATAAAATACAGATAGGAAATTATCACATGATTTCTCTTACATGAGAAACTCAAAAATACAAAGATTAAAAGAAGGAGAAATAGTAGAAATCAAAGAGATACTTATCTGGCATAGAGAAGGGGAACAAAAGAGATAAAGGTAGAGAGACAGAGCACAAATATGGAAAATGACCAAAACAAAGTATAGGTCTACCAATTTCTCAAAATGAATGTGATTATGTATTATGAACATATATAATTAAATAAAAAAGGTTTTCTTGGTACATATTCCACTAAAATTTCCTTTAAAAGAAGCAGATGTCCTTACTGCTGCTTTAAGTCATTCACTATAAATCTTCTAAAATTAAATGGCATTGCTATCTACTGCAAGTCTTTATTCCTTTTAGAATCTTCCTTTAGACTCTAAAATTTCAAATCCCCACCTCAGGAAAGCAACATCAAATACACACAAGGGGAAATGAGTAAACTAGAATTTCCTAAGAGTATCTATTCTGAGGGAGCAGCATGGTCTATTCTATTAGATTATACTTATTTAAAAAGAGAATTTTCAATTTTCTGACTTTGACTATTATTTCATTTGAAGTATTGTCAAGCTCAGAATCAAGACATATTCCTATGAAAGGTATGAAATTAAAATTTTCTTCTAAAAGTCATTTATAAAATGAAGTATTTTAAAATATACACATCATACCTCTCCATTACTATTAATGATTAAAAACTGGTCTTAACTACCAGACATGGAATAAAAGGGAAAGGTATTCCAGAGACGCAAGGGCAGTATTAGAACAGGATACAGTAGCAATAATATCCTAGAGTTATATAAAGAAAGAGAATAACAGCGAGACATGAAACTGGCATTCATTCCAAGAATTCCTGACACTACACTTTATTCTTTGAAAAAATATATTTGCAGCCCCTCAGGACATAGAGAATGATACACAAATAAAGTCTGTCACTTTTTGAAGGTATAACCTGGATGCCATATTCTTATCACTAAGCACAGCGCTCTCCCTGAAAACTGTTGCTTAAACTGGAAAATCCAACATGCTGAGGGATGCTGTTATATGCGGCTGACAATGACAACTACTAGCTACTACCTAAGGAGGTAGTCCTGAGCACTCCTGAAAAATGATGTCCCTCAGAATAGTAAATCACATAATTTTTAATGTGTTACCAACAATTTTCTGGGAAAAAGAGAGGTTTGACAAAATCTGGGTTATACTGAGTTCTCTTTAGAACTTCTTTCCATCATACATGTGAACTAACTACTTTAGAATATCTTTAGAAATACAGAATTTAAAAATTTGCTCTCAAATTAAGAGTTCCTTCTGACACTTACCAAAAATGGTAAGGGGATAGACACTTTGTAAATTATTTTAAAAGGCTATGAAACGATATATAATAGGAATGTCAGATTTTCAGCAAATACAGTTTTTAAAACACTTATGACCATATTACACTGTAGGCTTCTATTGATGGGTCTTAAGACTTTCCATTTTTTCTGGAGACAAAGTTGCTATGTAGTTCAGGCTGGCCTTGAACTCACAGCACTCCTCCTGCTTCAGCTTGGGATTACAGGTGTGTGCCACCATGCCTAGTGACTAGCCTTTCCCTTTTGTAAGAAAAAGATTTTGGGAGAAGAATCAGGGAAAGTGGTATACTGCACATTCATCAAAGAATTATTATTAATGTCTTTTTACACTCTTTTTCTCCTAAAATTCTATTCATTACTACTTGAGTTTACATTTTTTGAATTGTTGTTCTATTTACATAATATTTACTGAATTAAACATTAAGTAATAATGATAAAGGTAAAATTTCCTACGAATTTCAGGGGTCTTCCATGGAACTTCACTTGATGGAAAAGCAATGGAAGCCAGAAATTCATCCACCTGCTTTAAAGATAGGGCATTGTGAAGGGTTTCTAGAGGACAAATAGACGGCACCATAGAATACAGTTCAAAGCCTGTAAGAGAAAAACAAAAAAAAGTGAAACAGTACAGTTGGATATTTTAAAAATAAATAATTAAAAAAGGAAGAACTGTTTTGAACTGAAAGTTAAGGTCTTTTCAATCTATCACATGCAAACATACAAGATCTCTCAAGTCATGACACCAGATGCTATGCAATACGGAACTGAAACAAGATGTCACAAAGATTGCTTTTTAAATATAATCACATAGTATAGCATGCACACAATTTCTGTCTATATTGGTAAAATCTAAAAATAAGATTTAAAGAAGGAAACCTAGGGAAAAAACAGAAAAATTTTTAGTTTTTGTTTTTTAAAGTCAGGTATATTTAACAGATGAATAAACTGATGCTATTATGTGTCCCTGATATCAGAATACTAAAGGTAATTTGTTAGAAAACAATTATGTAATTATTTGTGAAGTGTGATTTTATACCTTTCTAGGCATTTTATACTTTTCCAGCACTACTCTCTGATGTGATCCTAAAGAAACATACCTTCACTTCTGCTGGGATTAAAATTCTGAAATATATTTCACCTACCTTTACTGAATTAACATCAATGATTCTATTATTGGAACTCACTGGCTGAGTAAAGTTAGGCCAAGTAAAAGCATTACAAATTACAAATATGTTCGTATTTAACAATGTCACAAAATACAAAAATTTCATGAAACAATCATGCAGCTATGTGTTAATATCAGTGAAACAAAAGCGCTTAAACACACAGTCATTTCTTTTAAACAAATATGATACAGGTAACTGCCTTTAGAAGAAAAGAAAATTGTCTATTTATTGAAAATATATTCAACCAAATGGCTTTTAAAATTGCTTTCATATACTGTTAAAATAGCAGGTCTTCCTATATCTAATTTGCCAATAACTTAAATTGATTCTCCTCAAAAGAAATATATTCAATACTTAAATTTACAATATCCAATACATTAATTCAAAAGTTAAATTGAATTTAGACTGCAAAGTAGATTATTTACTACAGTAGGCATGCACTCATTTTTAAATTTTGGGCTCTTTTACTTAAAATTTGGGAGGAAATATTGACCTGAAAATTGCTGGAATAATCAGGTGGAATGGAAAGTTTCACTAATTAAAAGGGAATCTAATCTTCTTACGAAAATAACCAAAGACCTTAGAAAATTGTTATGCTTGACTTTCAGGTACAAACCAAAACACGAAAGACCATTACACATACTTAAAAAGAAAAAGAAAACTATAATACCATAATAGCAGCTACAATATCTAAGCACTAAAGAAATTAGGCTTGCACAACTGTTACAGTATTTTTAAACTACAAGATTCATGCAAATAGGCGCAAACCCTTTCTTTGCATGACACTAAACAGCATGTGTTTTTGCCTCCTTTCCTCAGGATGTTTACAGGCCTTTTGGAACAGTTATTTTCTTTCATTTGCCTGCTAGACTTAGTAACAAGCAAATGATAGCAGAATCCTGTTCCTCGGGACCACAATTCCCCATTTATCTAGGAAGTTTTCTTTTAACGTACAACGAAAGGGTTAGCGCAGCCATTTCAAAAGCCAGCCTGCTGACATGTCGAGAAGCTATGAACACATACCACTGGAGCCTAGAAATTCCACAGAGGAAATGGACCAGCACCTAGAGAGGTGGAGGCGTTCTGCACAGAGGCCCAGAAAGTAAGGTAAAGCACTGTCAGAAGACACTTGTTTCACCATGCTCCTTGAACTAAAGAGGAAGGAAGGCTAAGTCCATGACATGTGTGAAAGATGGGAATCACATGAAAGTTAGGGAGAATAAAAAGTGAAAGGAAGAGTCAAGTGACAGTGGATAGGACAGATAAGACAACACAGCATAAAAAAAGAAAAAAGCAAATCTCAAAAGCCTAAAAGAAATTATTTCTACAACTGAAAGGAATGTATTTTATGTGCATTAAACTGTAGAATGTGTGGAAAAGCCACACTTTCTTAAAAAGCCTAAATCAGATGAATATATAATTATGATATTTTCAGTTAAATTAATCAAACTCTGTTTCACTATTACTTTTTATCTTCAGTAAAAAGAGCTCTCCTAGGTAAAACCTGCAACACTGGCTTTAAACACATAAGCATTTGGTACAAAAACTATAGTCTTAAACCTGCATCATCTCTTCTTAGAATTTTGTGACTTCTGTAGTCTTTGTGACTTCTGTTTTTCTTCTAAGAGGTTCTTATTCATACGATAGCTTTAGAAACTGCAGCCGTATCAAATGAGCATCTTTTCTTCAAAAAGTAGCCTTTAAAGAGCTACAATGGACGGAAAGCACATTAAGCTTTAAATTTTCACTTGGTGAAGATGAGATCTGCTTATTCCACCTTTAAGAAATATTAGTGTACTATTATCTAGATGTACTTTTAAAGGCTCTGAAGGGGGAATGACCATAAACTTGTGTTGAATCCTTATGCTTCACAAATGTTTGAGTATTTTTAGAGTTTATACCCAAAAATAAGAGTTAAAAAAAAGGAGCTTTATGCCAAATAAAAGCAAAAACTCACAAGTTTTTTAAAAAAATTATTTGGTCCTAAAGTATTTTAAAATGATCAGTAAATATTCTGTTGTCCCATGAGATGAAACTTTAAAACAAGAAGCTGAAATACTGCAACAATTCAGCTTATAAATAAGCATCACAATATTTTTCTGCAAAATGTAACTGAATTAAGTTTCTAAGATTTTTTTTTTTTTGTCTTTTTCGTTTTTATCGGTACCAGGGATCGAACTCATGACTGTCTGCTTGCAAGGAAGGCGCTTATGCCGCTGAGCTAAATCCCCAGCCCCGAATTAAGTTTCTAAATGTTAACATGAGTCTTCTTCCCATGAGGAATCTCCAAATTCTGAGAAAAAGCAGTGGTACCGAAGGGAACAGGTTGCTTGGTAACGGCAAATCATATTGCTACATCAGGACAAAGTGAGTACTGGACAACTTTCAGAGTGTTCCACACCAAATCAAGTTTTGCTTAGACAGAGAATCAGGGGTAAATAATGCTACACAGTGAAATCTGTATCACCTGGTTTCCAAGAACTTTTCAAGACACTTTTCATTTCACTATTTAACATGGGTCAGTTTATATTTTTGTAAACATATCTCAATTAAACAACCATGTGATCAGAAAAGAAAGCGGGAAAAAAACATTAAAATTATTAAGAACAAATTAAAGAATAATAATTGTTGAATTTAAAAAAATATGTATCAACTGATCACTTAAAAAGTTAGAATTTTCAGGTATTAATTTAGGATTAAAACTCATCATCATTGTGGTCATTTAAAAGCTTGATGAGCAATGTTAAATTACTGTGTAAATTATAACTAAAAAGGGAGCTAGACAGTATCAATAACTTGAGTAAATAAATTGGAATTGTATGCCAATTGAAATTAAGGATAAAGAAATGAATGATACTGTGTGCCCCATATTTTGAAATCAAAGAAAAATTAAAAGGGGATGAAGCAGGGAGTATCTTTTAAAATAAAAGCAAAACGTACCATTGGTTGGGTGTCGAGCAAATGAGATAGAAAACCTTTTAACAGCAGAACCGCGTGTGGCGTCTGAGAAAGAGAAAAACAGGTACCTGAAATTCGTAACAGCTATCAAAAGAAGAACACTTAAAAAAAGAGGGAAAAACAAATATATGAGAAGGTTAGAATTAGGTGGCATGCAGAAAGGACAATGAGAGAAGGTAATAAGCCAAATACTGGTTAAAGCAGTAAACTGGCTTGATGACAAGAGGCAAAATGTTTAATGAAATATACAAAGGAAGGACAAGCAGGATGAGCTGGCTATTTTGCTAAATCCATGTTTTACTGACTAAAGTAAATCTGTGGACATATGAGCAAATGTTTTCAATAATGCTGATCCTGAAAGATCTGAAATCATCTCTCTTATTTGCACAAGGACAGACCACCAACGCATTCTGAATATCAAAATATCAAAACTTAAAATGCACTAACAGTGATAGGATCTCCTACAGCCAGGAATCCTAAAGTAGTCTCATTCTATATTTTTATAAAAATATTGCCAAGATATATCCTGTATTATTAAACATTCTATTCACTTCAGCTTAAAACTGCTAAGTAAAATAAAGGTCAACAATGAACAAAGTTTAAAAGATCAAAGAAAATTTACTCTTTATCACATGTATTCTTAATTTCCTCAGAGAAGAACACACATAATTCAGGTCTAAATTTTCCATTTCAACCAACCATTTAGTGCTGAAGTAAGTCTAACTGTAATGAATTGATGAAACATGGATCCACACTGTAGATACCAGAGAGCACCGACAGTTTAGGTAAAAGATGCTAGGATTCCACTTGATTCAGTCAGTGGCCTTCAACTTGTTTTTGAGAACTACTGCTCATGGGTGTGTGCATGGGTGTTGGTGTGATTCTGTGTGTGCATGTGTGCACATACCATCTATGCAGCCAGAAGAGGTCAGCTTTTTACGATGAGTACGAGCATAATCCTGTAGGTTAGGTGCACTTGAAGAACCCCCGAGCACTGAGGTGCTAAACAGGCCCGCACAGTGAGACCCTGATGGGAGTTAGAGAAAATACATACAACAACGGGTGTTCTTCCATTCACATTGGGAATTCATGCAGCATGCAGTTAACATGGCTCTTACCACACATACGCAGCCCTTGGCAGTGCCTTCAATAGGCTCACAATATGCTTGTAATGTCCTAGTGATATCAATTTTAATACAATGCTCCAATAACCACCACCATTTGTATGTACAAATGGGCTAATTTAATAGTGCATAAATGTTATCTTTGAGGAAAAATATGCCTATGCATTAATTAGACATACATACCCTAAAAGCATTAAACGCACTATCATAAAAACTAATTCAGGAAGAGAACAGAATCTGACAATTAATGTGCAAGAGTAGGCTATAGGAAAAAAAAAACCTTCCCTAGTAAAAATTCAGTTACATTAAGTCAATACTTTTAAATTCATTTATCCTTTTTTTTTTTGCCATGCCAGGAATTGAACCCAGGGTGTCACACATGCAGGGCCTGTGCTCTCCCGCCGAGCCACAGTCCTGGCCCCTAAATCAGTATTTGTGAATGTAGGCCTATACATGAAGAATCTTTTCTGATGCCCCCAAGAAATGCCATCATCTTACGAAATAAAGTACATCAAAGCTTATGTACTTGTGACACCAGGCAAAATAATTCTTCTTTAGTCACTCAGGCCTAATCCAAGTTTGACTTCTAAAATTTAACAAATGACTTAAGACATAAAGTCCCTGATAAAACACATCATCAGCATTAAAACACAGCCAATGTAAATTTATGCTTAATCTGAAGGAAAAGTCTTTACATTCAGGCAAAACTTTCTTGGGGAAAAATTAAATGGATTTTTATCAAACATACTATGCAATTCAATAAGAAGTAATAATATATAAATTTCCTTTAAAGAGTTCTTTAAATATGAAGGCATCATCAGAATTCATATCGTAGTATAAAGACTTCAGGTTACAGAGTTTAAATTTACAGTGAAATCTATTTTGTTTTTATTAAACCTATTTAGACAATTATTCATGGAAAATAATGGCATTACCTCCTAGAGTTCATCATACATTAGCTTAAAACTAACGAATTTAGAAAAATGTTTTCCAATATGGCTCTGAGTGTTGGCAAAGAAACAATCATGGTCTTTAATTCAAAAAAAGAGTAAATCTGTCCCTGTACATTAGTTTTGCCCTGGTTTTTCTTAAAAACTGCTCAAAAGAAAAATTAACATAACTAGACAGTAACTAGATAGAAACACCTTAAATTTTTTTAATAACCAGAAAAAGAAAAGGTTCTTAATGTATGCAATCAGATCTTTAGAAATGTATCAACTGGGTAAATAAAGTTTGCATCTTAACTTATAAAGTATAAATTTAAAAATTAGCATTGCCAAGTGAATTGGTCATCACAGTGGACAAAAGATTACATGACAAAATTAAATGCTACTTCTTACACTATCAAAACCTAATTGTGTATTTTGAGTTGTGTAACTTAACAATCCTGAATTAGTATGCATTAATTACAGACTAACGCATAGCATTTGGTCATGTTTTTCTCACTGAAGAGCTTTACATGTTTGCACAGTGTTGAGTTTAATAGGGTGTGAAACAGTGTCCCTTACACCACATACCTACAGTAGGGTTCTGCTTCTGTTCCACAAGAGTTCTTGGGGTTCGAAGGTAATTAGCATTTTCAGATACAACCTGCACAAGGAAAGCAAAATAAATGAAACAAAGGGTTTTAAAATACAGTTAGAAGTCCATATGCAGCCTGTTCCAGACAGACAAGGTTAATAAGCTGTATGGTAAATATTAGTAGAAATACATAAAATCTGAGAGTCATGCAAGATCCCTTCTGAAGGGAGTCCATCTCATAAAAGGTCCTTGCAATGAGTGGTGCGAAGCAGGCATTCAGAATGAAACATCATGTATGAAATGAGACAGATGAAAAGAAACAATTTAGACTGATATAATTTCACTCTCTCTTTAAAGAAGCAAAATACCCAGTCTTAAACAGCTCCTGTATTTCAAGGGGGAAAAAAACAACCACAAACAAAAGAAAAGACAGACAGACTGCTGAGGTCACCATACAATTATTGATCCATGCATGGGCTTTATCAGAGTAACCTTTAAATAGTCACAGCCTTAATGGATACCATAATCCCTTTTCTTATAATCAAGTACATTATATTTCCAAAAGGAAATTGCTGAAGTTATCAGAAAAGTCATGTGCTACAGCAGATCCTCCATTGTAATAAAAACCAGAGTATTTTCAGTTTTGAAATGTCATCACAGAAAGTCCTTCTGAAGTCGTTTCATTTTGAACTATACAGTTGATGGCATACATGCCCTTGGCCCCTCTTGTCCGATACTTCCAGATAAAGGAATGAGGGAGAAAATGGTCCACATTAGATCCATCTTGATGAATAACACTGAGTCACATAAATTTTAGTATTTTTAAAATGTTTACATTGTCAGCAAATTCCAAATGGAATCAAGTTTCTCAATTATAGGTGAAAATTAGTAAATTTTCTTACCATTTAATAACATAGTTTTGTCTCTAAAAGTTTTAAAAGACAACTAAAGTCAAAGAAAAATTTACTTCTTTTTTCATAAATTTTATTAGCGAGCAGAAGTTCCAGGAGAATAATATTTATTTTTTAAATCCTGGATATTTAAAACCTGCCCAGTAAAAATGCTAAATACATACAATGTAAGTGGTTTCTTTCTCTCAAATATCATCAGATATCATAAACATTTTTCAATGAACTCAAAAACAGAAGGATTTACTCTGATGTGAAACACAAGGGATTAGATGTCCTCAAAGACAGCTGTTTGTTGCTCTGAATGGGGAGAAGAAAAATGTTTAATGAAGTAAAGTTTAAAAACCTGTTGCCATGAGCCAAAAATACTGGATGTGAAAGCCAATGATTTGGGGGAGACAGGGGAAGAAGTGATTTGTTCCCCTGATCTGCGTCTTCGACGCCCAGTACCCACACCACTGGTATAATGCAGCCAGGTACCAGTACCCTCTGGGCTAGACACACTCAGGGGGCTCTCTTCCTGGAAGTGAGAAAGGGGGCAAAAAAAAAAAAAAAAAAAAGCAGAGCATGCAAAGTTAGATACAACAGAGCCAAATGATCAGAAAGAAAAAAAAATACAGTTTGTTCTCATTTGCTTATCAATTTTTAAAAGAACTATTAAACTAATTTGGGAGCCAACATTTGAATATCTGATAGGAATCACATAAATTTAATGTGACAACAACTATAGAAACACATTGCTAAGTAAAGATCTAAAATACTTATACAGCTTAAATTGTTACTTCTTAAAACTAAAAAGAGATTTTAATGTTCTTTTGGCAACTATTTAAATATAAAAGTATTCTGCTTAATTTGAAATATTAAAGAGATTTGAGTTTTGGGTGAACTTTTCAATATAAACACTAAAGTACTATATAAAAGATTAAAGAAATTTCAATGTACATAAAATACACACTAAAAATAAGATTATAAAGTGGATTCAAATTGTACTTGATTCAAATTGTACTTATTTATACTTGCAAGATATCATTTTGTTTACTCCCTCCACAGATTATTTATCAAGGGCAGAAGGCAAAACATGCAGCAAACATTTTCATTTTACATGTTTGCAAGTTCATATTTCAGACAATGAGGACAGAATGAGATCTACTTGCACAAAATGAAGAGAACAGTCTTTCTTTTTGTGTCTTTTGAAAGTATAAACTTCTGATATCCACGGAGATGGTGAATGCTGGAAAAAAATCTTCAAGGTTTTACTTGAATAATTTACCTTATGGAAGTAAAAGTTTAGCATGGCATCGAAATACCTCTTGAAAGCAACTCTTTTAAGAATTCATGAAAAACAATTTTAAAATTGTTTTGTGTTTTAAGAATTAACTCGGGTAGTAAACGATAAAGGGTTTACAAATACAGATGAGAAGCAATATATACAGATTTACACATTTTGCTGGCTCAGTGTTATACAAGTTTTTGAAAGGCACAAGAAAGGGTTTTGTAGTGACACTATTCACAGATTATAGACTGCCACTTGAACCCATCAAAATCACTGCCTCACACAAATGGTGTTTTTTGTTTTTTTAATAAACTACATGGTGTTTTTAAGTCATCTGCCAGTTTTCTGAAATTCAGGATATCTGAACATAATCCTAGATTTCTTATTTTTCAATTAAGGTACAATTGAACAGATAATTCCAAATTCTACTATGTTTGCATCTTTTATTAACCACCTTTAAAAAAAAAAATAACTGAAAACACCATGTCCTAAGTAAGTAACCCTAGTAAGTATACAGTTTCCATGAAAGTATTTTATTGGTAGATATTGATAGATATTTTTGTTACATGTAACAGTCAAATTTAAAATTATAAAAGACGTTGTCTGGGGTTGTAGAAATGAGCACAATTTTTTGTGTATATTCTTACTAACTACTAATGTTATATCTCATTATTTAGATCTGGAGTATGAACATGTCAACGATATATGTTTATAACTTAAAGGTTTATGGTTCTACCTTAAGTTTAATTTCTTTTACATTTTTATACAGCATTTAGAAAAGATTTACAAGCGCTGACCTCAATCAATGCTTTGAGGTAATTCAAAGTAAAAGTTTAAAGTGTACATAGGTATTAAAAATTTACTTAACAAACTTCATTTTAACTGCTTGACATTCCTTTTAAGTGTTACTTTAGTAATTATTTAATATTATTCTATCAGTGAGTTTAATTAATCTAATCTATTTAATTATAGACTTTAGTACAAAAGAAAAATTTTCAACTACATCATCGAACTGTCAATCCTTACTGAGCTTTTTGCAGTTATGCTGACAATGTGAAATTTTAATTTATTTTTTGTTGCACTGAGAATTGATCTAGGCCCTTGCACAGGCAAACACTACAGTACTATCATAGTACATTCCCAATACCCCTCCCTGTTCTACTTTTTTGAGACAGGGTCTCGGCAAGTTGTCTAGGATATCCCTGAACTTGTGACCCTCCTGACTCAGCCTCCCAAGCAGCTTGAGAACACAGGCATGTGCCATCACACCAGATATTATTTGGAATTAATATCTTAATCTACAATGGCACTAAGTAGGTTATTATGAAAAGTATCTCTGGGGGCTGGGGATTTAGCTCAGCGGCATAAGCACCTGCCTTGCAAGCAGGCAGTCGTGAGTTCGATCCCTGGTACCGATAAAAATGAAAAAAGACAAAAAAAAAAAAAAAAACAACCCACAAAAAAAAGTATCTCTGGTAATGCCTGTCAATAAAAATTATTCCTCATCTATTAAATTAAACCTTTTAAAAAGTTCTCTAAAGAATTGTCTTATGTGGCAATGACCAAAAAGAAAAGAATTAATTTATCACATTCTTAAGCCTTATATTCAATTTTGTTATAGCTATACATAAAGCTCCAAATCCTAAAACTAATCTTTGTTACCTCAACAGCCTTTATATTTTTACATATCTTTTGAAATCTGTTAAAAAATAGACAAAGTTGACAAAAAGTTGGTAGGTTCCCAAGCTCTATAATTAAAGCTGTATTTTCTTTTCAGTTTTATTACTGTTAGTTTACCTTATGAAAAACATGCTCTGAGACACACACTTACTTCATTCGTAGCCATCTTCCTAGATCGTGGAAGTGGAGACTTCCTGTGTATATGAATTGGCTCTGATACCAATGGTTTAAACAGTATAACAGCTCGATCAACCTCATCTCTTTTAGAAGTATGTGGTTCGTCATCATTATCACTTTTAAAAGATCTCCTGCCTTCACTCTGCGTGCAAAAAAGCAATATATTTAAAATTCAGATTTAAAAATTTCTGATTAACAAATTCAATACCAATTATATAGTTACTGTAATATATATGCTTGTTTTCTAAAATGAATTAATATCAACTGAACTCTTATAACAGCCTCGTGTTACATCAGTTCCTGTTAAGGCGATGTTCAAGTTTCTGATTTCGAAAAACACAGAGTCTGTAGAGAAGTTAACAGTAAAAAGATAATAGAGAAACATAAAAAATAGTGTTTAGTTAAATTTCAAATGTACTAATAAATGCCACTAAGGAAACTAGAAATTAAATTTATCATATGGTAGTGTTACCAGACCAATCATGAAGAACAACAGCATTTGAATATATAATTTTATAATATTTAAATTCTATTTCAAGTATTTTCAATACATATGATTAATGTATAGAAAACAATGTTACCCATTAAATGTTATACCAACTGTTTGCCTCGTGCCAGACACTCTACTAATAAACACACGAATAAGAAACACATCATAAGAATCTCACAGTATAGAAGGTATACAAAATTGAAGAGTTTTATATAAATATCCATCTATAACAGAACAGATAAATTTGGCTGAAATTATACACTAAAACACATATTTTAAGCAGTAAGAATGGACAGACTAAAACTACATATAATTATATTGACGAATCTTATAATGTAAGCCAAAAAATCCAAGCACAATATATAAAAACCTTTGTCAAACTAAGAGCTAGATAGAGTCTGATGGAACTTCTTAATGAGAGGGAATATGCAAAACTTTAAGCAATCATGACAGTTTATACTAAAACAGAGAAAGAACATATCTATTCATTTTACTCAACATTCATCACCATTCACAAATAGTATGATCACAGATAAAAAAGAAATCTATGGGTTAATTATTAGAATGAATGCCAGCAATGACAAATTTGCTAGTTATAATACCTTTAAAAATGAATTAAGATTCAATATGGTAGTGACAAACAAAATGGAATTAAATAAACATTATGATAGCATCAAAAAAATAAAAAGACCTATAAATTCATCTACCAAAGATCTACAACATTAAAAAACCCATAATTTTGTCAAAGAGATATAAAGTATAGTTAAATAAATTCAGAAACATATGAAATCCTGTACAGGATATGATATTACAAAAGTATTTTTTTAAAGATCAGCTTGCAGAGTCAATAAAATACTAATCAAAATTCCAAAAATTTATTTTTGGACGCTCACAAGATGATTATAAAATGTACATTGAAAAATTAAGAAACATTCAAGGTAACCTTGAAAAACAAACTGGAATACTTCTGTGGTAGAAATTTAACATTATACAGGTACAAAAATTGACTGTAATATTGAAAAGACGGGGAGAAACACAGAGACAGAGGAGAGAAACAGGAAGTGATGGGAAGAAGAAGAGGGTGGGGTGGGGTGGGCCAGGGCAGGGCAGAGCAGACAAAAAAGAGAGGCAATGGAGTGACAGAATGTGTTAAGAAACTAACCTACCATAACCGACCAACAGTACTGCACGCTGTAGGGAAATGATCAATTTCTTTAATATTTCATCTTAGAACTAGTTACCCATACAGGGGGAAACATGCACACAAAGCTAGACTCCATCATCACACAAAGCATATCCCCCCAAAAGGCAGATTTCAGTGTATTAAAGTAACAAAGTAGGAAAATAATGCCAGGTGAAAATATGAGAGAAACAATAAAGAACACTGTGAATACTAAATATAGAAATACAGCCGATCTAAACTGATTTGGAAGACATGCTGTGACATATATATTTACTTTACGAAAATATGAATATACATTATAATTGGCCACTACTCTATAATCAATATACTTTTTTTATTTTTAAAGAAAAACAGAAAGCAAAAGAGATAAACAACAGCAAATCCAAAAACAGTAACAATATAGGTTTTCAAAACAGAATGAAAGAAATTTAACAATGGTTATTATATTGCATATTGTTCTTTTTTTTTTTTTTGTCTTTTTCTTTTTTATTGGTACCAGGGATCGAACTCAACGACTGCCTGCTTGTAAGGCAGGCGCTTATGCCGCTGAGCTAAATCCCCAGGCCCTTGTTCTTTTTTTTTTCAAATAAAGAAAAGAAAATTAAGGAAAATAGAAAAACAGAAAAAAAAGGTAGAACAATACCAAATTCAAAAATAATTAACAACATAAAATCACTAGTTGATACATTACCCATTGTCATCTTAAAAAACAGTTGCCAAAGTCACAAAATCAAAGCAGAAATAGTGGCTAGACACTCAAACACTGACAGTGCAAATTATTCTGTTCAATGTTCCAATAGAAATTCAGTAATATGGTCATCTACACACACTACATACCATTGTATCCTTTAGAGCACTTTCCTTCCCTTTCACTTTCACAATATCTACTATACTTTTTGGATCCCATTATTTTGTCAGTTTTTATTTTTACACTAGAGAGACAATGTGATATTTACTAATGTGATTCTTGTTTATTTCACTAATGAGAATATTCTCAAGTTGTCTTCATTTACCTATAAAGACCTCAAGGTCACCCTTTTATAGCTGAGTAGTATTCCACTGTATAAAAATACCAGTTTTTTCACCCACTCTGCAGTTGATGGGCATTTTGGTTGTTTCCTAGAATCAATATTCTAAAACATTCTGATACAATACTCCAAGTCTAAATTCAAACTGACTATAAACAGTAACAATGACTTGTGGAATTTTAAATTTGCTCTCTAAAATACAGTATATACAATCAAAATGTAGGCGTCAATAATATAAAAGAGGACACAAGAATGAAGTAAAACAAATTGGAATCTTCTAAGATGTTTATATTGTCCAGTAAGAAGTAAAAGTTTTATTGATCTTTTAAAAGTCAGAGATTCATGTGACTAGTTCCTAGTTCTAGAACAATCATTAGAAAATAGTAAAATGATGTAAACTTATCAGATATTCTACTTGAGGGAGAAAATAACATCAAAGAAGGCAAGAATGAAAGAAAAAGAAATGCAAAACAGGTAGGACAATAAAAACTGCAGAATGGTTTAAGATGATACAATAAACTCCAAAGAAGTAAAAATTGATATATAATATTATCATACATTAATACATGCATATTATATATTTTAAAATAATATAATAATGTGACATAAATATATAAAATGTAAAAATCTGTAAATGTCAAAGATTCTGAGGATGGATAAAAATATAACACAAGTATACACTCTTTAAAGAAGACATATAACAAATGTGTAGATCCAGAAAGAAAGAAAGTAAATGGACAGAGATATAGAAGAAATACCATTTATCCCTCCTTGGTTAAGATTCTGTAAGAGAACCAAGTGCTACCACATTAGCAGACACTGAATATAACTCAGTAAACTCTATCTTGTGCATCAAAGTTGGTATGTCAATACTATCCTCATGCTGAAAACAGTCATTCAGACTATTCTGTATCTGTGCTTCCAAGGAGAATCTGAGAAAGGTTTATGCCAAAGTAAAAAAAAAAAAGTACTAGCAATAAATTGAGACTCTTTAGGATGATAAATCAAAGTATGATTTGAAACAATATAATTAAAAACATTTGAGTTTCTAATTACACAGAAGCTCATGATAGCTAAGAAGGATGAATGCTGATGAATACCAGATGTGTTTGAGTGATACAGCCCAATACTTCCTGGCCACTTCTTAGTAATAAGGGTAATGTAAAAATATACCAGCTTTTTCCCATTCTGAATCATCCCAAATACTACTGAAGATGGTTTGGGAGTGCTAGCTCTGCTGTTCTTCTTTTGCTTAGAAGCAAAAATGAATTTCTAGATTTCTACTGGATGAACAATATAGCATAACTGTAGGCTCAAATTTTCCCTCAACTTTTAATATTCGGTATCCAGCATTATATTAACAGTAGCCTGGAATAACAGAAAATAAGAGATCAAAAACCAAGGAGGAAAAAAAGAAAAAGAAATCAACTCAGAAAATGTAACTTGTTATAAATTTTATAATAACCATAATACATATATGCTCACATAGTAATTAACAGCCAGACTAAGAATTTTAGTTAAGAGCCAAAAATTATAAAATGAATCAAACAGCAATTCTAGAGCTATGAAGCATTAGCTAAACCCTATTTAGTCAGTACTAAAATTAAGAGTTCAATGACTGAGTTTAAGAGCAAACTGAAAAAAAAAGATGGACTAGTGGATTGGAAGAGAGGTAAAAAGAAAATCTGTGCCTGAAAAATAGAAAAAATATATATAGAGAGAGAGAGAGAATGTAAGAAATACATGGCCAAAAGGCTTGAGATGTATGATAAATCTAATACAGTTAGGTACCAGAAGGAGAAGAAAAGACAAAGAGTTAATTACTTAAAGAGATAATTACTGCAAATATTCCAGAAAGCAATGCAAGATATTGCTGCAGTTATGTATAAGAAACACTATTAACCCAGACATCAAAGTTAAACTGCTGAAAATGAAGACAATCATGTAACAGTGAAAGGCTCTTCCAGGACGTAAAGGTTTTAAGAGTATGGGGCTAGGAATTTAGCTCAGCAGCATAAGCACCTGCCGTGCAAGCAGGCAGTCGTGAGTTCGATCCCCGGTACCGATAAAAAGGAAAAAGACAAAAAAAAAGAGTAAAAGAATACAAGAGATTAAAAATTACAAAGCAAATGCATTTAGGTACATTTAATTTAAATATATCAGTAATTATATTAAGCTAAACATGACAAATCAAAGGCCAAGTTGATTAAAAATTATTAAAAATTCAAGTTAAAAAATACTCATTCAATGCTTAAAAATAATATAAAGAAGGATACAAATGATGCTTTAAAATAATATATAGAAGGATACAAAAGGTCAAGAATGAAATGAAAAAGAAAAGACACAAAAAGAAAATGATAAAAGTATTATGGCTATAAATACAAGGTACATTGCACCTTGTACATTGTAGTCACAAGGTAAGAAATTTTTTTTAGGCATAAACAATGACTTTTCATGATGAAGAAAGACAAAAGAAGGACTAAACAATTCAATTTGTATGCATAGCCTAAAAACATGGTGTAAAAATTCTGAACATTATAAGGAAAAAGAGACAATAATCTTGGTGGGACATCTTTTCATACCCTTTTAAGTAGCTAATAAACAGAAATCAGACCAAATAAATCTTTTAAGGATATAAAAGACTGAACATTATTAATAAACTTTCCAGGCTGACTGGAACTGAACAAAGGATAATACTTGGATATACATCTGACATTTGTAAAAAATTAAGTATAGGGAGCTGGGGAATTAGCTCAGCGGCATAAGTGCCTGCCTTGCAAGCAGGCAGTCGTGAGTTCGATCCCCGGTACCGGTAAAAACGAAAAAGACAAAAAAAAAAAAAAAAATTAAGTATACACAGATCAACACTTTCTAAATATAGCCAAGACAAAAATCACACCAAATATATCCTTTAACAGAAGAGAAATTAAACTAAAAACTGTTAACAAAAGCTCACTAGTAGTTTCCACGTTTGAAATTAAACATAAATCCCTGAAGTCATGAATCAAAGAAAAACAAAAATTAACACATTGCCAATGAATGATAAAATATAATTATCTGATGCAGCTGAGACACTATAGGTATACTAAAGAGATACTGTGCTCGACAGCTCCAAATGCAGTTATTAGGAAAAAAACCTTTAAATTTAGGGCCTAAAGGGTAGTCAAATACATTAGAGTTGGTTAACAAAATAAATCCAAGAGAAGTAGAAGGATACAGAAAATTTAACATCAGAGGTTAATAAAAGTACAAATGTACAATATAAAGAATTCACAAGAGAAATTATTAGCTTTCTAAAAGATTAAGAAATCATAAATCCTTGCCAAAACTCAATTAGGAATGATGCATTAAGAAGTTAGCATTACAAAAAAAAAGAACATCATTACAGATCTTATAGACTGGTCATGGCGAACCTTTTAGAGATTTCAGTGATACAAACAGCCTGCTGTGGCATGTGTGCCATCACCATTACGGACAAGGAAAGGACAACATAAGGATACTGAATAACTATATACCCTAAATTTGAAAATTAAGTTAAAATTCAAAAGCCCAACTAATCAAAATGGATATAAAAAGACGCAGGAAATCTGCATAGTGTATCAGCTGAAGAAACAGAACACATAATTGAAAACATTCCTACAAAGAAAATTTGATGACCAGATGATCTCCAAGTAACAAATTTTAATAAATATTTAAGGAAAAAGTAATGCCAATCTTATATACATGTTTCTAGGTAGCATTTAATTCTTAATACAGTGAAGATTAAAATGCCAAGTGTTTACCACAATGTTTAATGTAGAGTAGTGCTAAAAAAAATTCAGATGTAAACATTATAATTTACTGGGTTTAAAATGCAGTCTAATAAAGATAAAATTCTATGTATAAAAATACTATCTTCTCAAATCATATTTTAAAAAGTTTAAGCCATTTTTCCACTTAATTAAGAATTATTTACAATAACTAATAGTAAATATTTAGAGCAAACTTATGAAACTCTAAAACCGTAGTGTCCAGGTACTATAAGTTCCAGCTGCATTACCTCTCTGGAAGCTGGTCTGTATCCATAGCCAGATGGTAAATTTTTATCTTCTTCACAACCTTTGGCTCCTGGACTGAAATGTAATTCAACATGAAAGCGTTCTTCTGAGGAAAGGTCCTAAAATATATGAAGGAATATTTTCACAGTAACTAAATTCAAGCCATTTATTTACATCTGGCAGTACAGACAAACCCAGAGTCTGCTTACCTTGTTAGGGTCTTCGTAAAGCATAATAACAATCTGAGTCATGTAGTTGAGTTCACTGACAATGTTCAGATAGTCCACAGCTCGTTTCCACTGTTCATCCTTTGATTCCTGAATAAAAGGTATACGGTAAGTTTCTTCTCATGCTGTGTTTCTCAAATCACTTCATTCTTGTCATAGTGGCTTGCTCAATCTTGAGAGTTATCACACACATATGATGGGTGATGCACACACTAAGATGCACAACTTTTTCCAAATGGCTTCATTTAAAAGTCTCAAGTTTCTTAAGCTTGTTTAAATAAATGTTAAAAGTCTTTTGCCAGTAGTATTGGAAGCCCCAGTGGGTAGCTTTTTTTTTTTTTTTTTTTTTGTCTTTTTCCTTTTTATTTGTACCGGGGATTGAACTCACGACTGCCTGCTTGCAAGGCAGGCGCTTATGCCACTGAGCTAAATCCCCAGCCCCCTAGTAGGTAGCTTTTTACAAAACAGTTTATAGAAAATAAAAATTGAAAGTTTCTTGGAATACATTATCTGTTACTGAATTCTAAGGGTAAGGAACAGTTTTAATCTTCTAAGTGCAAAAGCATTTGGTATGTTATAATACAGGACACCAACTGGTAAGGGCAGTGCTTTTCCCGGTTCTATCATACGGCCCATGTATGTGACAAAGCCTTTCAGTAAATATCCCTTATTTACTGCTATGGTTTAGATCTAAAAGGACCGAGAGTCTCATGCATTTGGAAGTTGACTGGATTACACAAGTGTTAGGGCTGACTTGCTGCTGAAGAGGGCAGGGGCCTTCCCAGTTGTAGATAGATCACCAGGTACATGATGTGGAAGGCTTTCTCCCTCTGCAGCTCCACCCTTCCCTCTCTGCTTTCTGGTCCCCAAGAGATGAGCAGCTTTCCTCCACCAGACCCTTCCTGCCACTGGATTGAAAATCTGAAAAAGATAAATCTCTCCTCCTTTAAGCATGGCTGCGGTCCCAGCAATAAGAAAGTGACTAAGACACTCACAATGCAGTGAAACCAAGAAATCACCAGAAGGTGGCATATGGAAATTCTGTTCCTCTTAGCCATCCCCTTCATCATTCACCATCTTCATTTAGAGAATCACATTTCTTTACACAAGCAAGCATGCAATGTGATAACTTAACAGATCTTAAGGAACATGGACTACAAAGTGTTCAAAGAAGAAAATCCCACTCAAAATGGTAAAACTATTCAAATTATAGTCTATAGGTAATAATCAACAGTCTATATAAAACTTATGTACATCTCAGGTAATTTTCATTCATTGTATATATGTTACAAATATCTTAATTATATGATAGAATTCAATTTTTTATGTATAATAAAAAACTTATTTTGAATTTCAGTGTAGGATGTGGCTTGTTCTAAAATAATACTATAGTAATACCACATGCCCTTATGTACAGTTTTAAAATTCAGTATGTTTCCTTTCTTCATAGATATTATATACTCCTATCTATTCAATGCTCTAGAGTAAAAAGTGTATCTGTGTATATATGTGTGTGTTGATGAGGTCATGTGTGCAAAGAATTTTCAAAAACTTGTGTTTTTCAAAACTGATAAAGGAAAACACATTAGTATTATATTACTGAATTTCACCACATACAAATTCCTGAAAATGATGACACTGAATTCTAAAAGTTTTCATTAGGTTAACAGATAAGTTAGATTTTGTGATACTACTCAATTAAGAAGACCATCTAATTTCTGCATCAGAGCTAAAGATTTTGCCAGATATGTTTCAATAAATAGGTAACATTAAGCAATATTTAATAGTATCTTTGTGAACAAAATTAATAAGAAGCCACAAAACAATCTTTTTTCTTTAAATTAAGGTCTATACATTCCTTGAAACCTAATGTACAATCTGATTTCCTGAGCTAAGCTTTTTTTTAATATTACAGAGAGATTTTGTACAGTTCATTCTAAACCATCAAGAATTCCAGAAAACTGAAAGAGGTTTTAAGTATAATGCTTAAAATTCTTACAATTATAGTAAGGGTTCAGATAATGGATAATAGTGCAAAAAAAATTTAAAAAGTTAAATCAGAAAACAGCACATCATAGGTACCATGATTTTTTCCAGGGAGCACAAATTCTTTTGAAAAATATAATTGCTTAGTTTTTGTTTTAGAAATAAAACTTACATTTAACATTGCCAAACAACTTGTAGCTCTGTCACTACTGTAGTTTATACTTACCTGTTTTTTAGATCACTGCAATAGTTTTCACCTTGGTTTCCTCATATGCACACTTGCCTACATACTGTCCGCACAGCACCAAAAGTCACTGCCTTCCCTACTTAAAACCTTTCAACAGCTTTCCAACCATTCAGGATACAAAGCACTGTCTAACTTTACCTGTGACTTTATTCATCTCTCACAACTAGGCTCTAACCATGTTTTCTTTGCAGTTCCTATATTCCTCATGCTATTTCTATCTTCAGAGGTACCTTAGTTCATGAACTCAATTCTCTCTAAGATTTTGATGGCAAACTGAACTAGATGAGAGCTGAATCAAATTTCTCCATAAAATCACCATGGAACGTTTTTTTTGTTTGTTTGTTTGGTTTGTTTTGTTTTGTTTTTTTGGTGGGGAGGAGTAATGGGGATCAAACTCATGACCTCACACTTGGCAGGCAGGCGCTTATTCTGCTGAGCTAAATCCCCAGCCCTATCACCATGGAACACAACTGCCAAATTTGATTCAGTTCTTGTTCAACTTGGTTTGCAATCAGAATCATGGAAAGAATCAAGTTCTTGAACCAAGGCACCACTATATATACATGTGAAAGATTTATCTCTTTCCCCTTGAAACAATTTCATGAGTACTACTGGATATATGTAAATTTTTGCTTTGCTAACCAAGGGTCATTTTTTTCATTCACTATTCTTTTATTACAGCTTTACTAATCCACATGAATGTTACTTTGCCATTCTTTAATGTGACAAAGTAGAAACCAAAACAAGAATGAATGTATGCTTTCAAAATTTTGATAAGACTAGAACACCAAAATAGCTTTAGGGTAACTTTGCAAATGATTATTTTTAAGACCCAATAAGATAAAAAAGGTTAGGAAACAGAAAGCATCACAAATCACTGTTGTCTTTTATTTAAAAATTATATAGAAAAAAAATTACTTTTTAAAAAAATCACTTTGGATACAGATATACTTAAATGTATACACCAATACATACTGGAAAATAAAGGAAAATTCTTAATTTTTTGTGAGTTTATAGAGGTGGCTGATATAGATGAGATCCCAGAATTCAGGTTTATGCTATAACAAGATATACCTGGAGGGAGTGGAGCAGAAATTAAATCAATTTTGCACATGAGAAGACTATAAATAACTATGGACAATGAGTAGACAAAGGGTCATTTAAAAATAGTGACTATTTAAATTTTAAAAAATAAGTAAAGTCACATTGTCATCAATTCCCTAAATACTGCCATTTGCTTTGAATACACTTATTCCATGTTTTTACCAATTTCTGAAGCAGTTCTGGAAGTCTTCTCCCATGAGCACCTTTATGAGATACGATGGAAACTCTGGTGACTGCTGCTGCCCAGTGCCATCCAGCAGAAAGGCAAGCTCGTAAAAATGCTATGGGGGGAACTCACCCACCTTATTCACCTGATCAAGCACACTGTGACCTCTGGATTTTCGCCAAAGTCAAAATGACCATGCAAGGCAAACCCTTCAACTCAGTGCAGGACACTGAGTCAGCCACAACAGTGCAACTGAAGACACTATGAAAAGGACTTCCAGAACCACTTCAGAAAGGGGCAAGAACGATGGGATAAGTGTGTTCCACATGGGGAACATTTCACAGGGGTTAATGGCAATGTGTCTTTTACTGTAAAAATTTCTTAAAAAATAAAACACATCTATTTTTCTTACTACAGTGGACTGTATTTTGCAAAAATGGCTGTTACATACATTGAATCCAATATATTCTTGTAATGTAACAGTGAGACTCGATGCACACATCTAGCCATATGGGTTATTTCTTTTGGTGTCGAACCTGGATGGAATTCTGTAATTGCCTCAATGAAAACTGCTCCACTTGAGGGATACTTATGATCAGATATGATATATGTGAAACGCCATACACTTGCACCTTGCTACCCTAACTGCATTTTGAGAAAGCAAGTCACACAAAGAGGCCAGATGTTGTTATTGTACTCAACAACCCCTCAGGTCCCATTTGGTAAGTATCAAGCACTAAACATGTGAGAACACCTTTGAAGTGACTGAGTCCCAGCCATGACTACAACTCCATGAGACTCTACCAAAACTGCCTAATTGATCCTAGTCAATCCTCTAAACTTGGAAAACAGAAATAAAGGAGCTGTGGCTGTTTTAAGCTACACATCTTGATACATCATTATGTGATGGAAGGTAGGAGGCACAATGTCTAACAGAATACTAAATCCTGTCAATTCTGACCCTTCCTGCTGAAATGCTCATCTCTCAGGTTCATCAGCCTCTCTTTCTTCACATTGCTAGTCATCTATAATATCACCTGAAATCCCTGTTTGGTTGGTCACATGAACCTTAAGAAGGAACATCTTTGGTCCCAAAATCTAGCAAAAGACCTGATATATTATAATAAATGCTCGGAAAGTGATAGTACATCATAAAAATTGATGAAGAGTTACAGAAGTTTCATAGTAAAAATGGGTTACTGATTTGATTAACAAATTCAAAAAACATTTGTTAGTTTACTCACATCGCATAAGGCACCATAGCGAAGAATAGATAGTAAAGAATGTACATGACTTTCACTGGTAAAATATAATCTGGTACGAACATGACGTTCAGGAGACAAAACACCTCTGGAATACCTAAAATTAGAAGCATACAGTATTATAACCATGTAATAAAAACTTAAGTATAGAAATTATTCTATAAAATAGAATTTAATCTTCCTAGAAATAAAATTCCCTAATAAATAAACCTGATATTCTTCCAACCAATAACTCCAAAATTGAGGAGTAACTTTCATAAATGAGGAGATATTGTATTTTGATAGCTATTTTTCTAACATGATGCTAGCTGGAACTAACTAGGTCCTCTGAGATTAGTCAAACGGTAATAAACTTAGTATTACTCAAGTTAACTCTAAAGAGGTTATTTTAGCTACTCCAGTAGCAGTGACAGAGGTTATAGACCTAGAGATACTCAAAAAAACACAGTGATGACCCCATGAAATGATGACACACATTCCCTCTTCCCCATTCACCTCTGTTTTGCTCCAAATTGATGCCAAAAGCAGCTTTGGCTGGAATTTACTTAATAGGAATATCTAGATAATCCTATTTCCACAAAATATCAAGTCATATGCTCCTGATTTCTATACAAAAACATTAAAAAATACTTTAGATTTGAAGTATGCAAAACAGATGCCTATGGACTTAAACAACTAGTACAGTCTCTTACACAGGATGGAGTTTATTTACAGTGTCATCATCTTGTGTTCTCTGCAGGTCTGAGCGAATTTTTCTAACTAGAGGAGTACAGTAGCCTTTGGCAATCTCCAGTTTTTCAGCCTTAGTTATACCATATTCCTGAGCAGAAAATACATAGTGTTAGAAAAAGGGTATAATAACAAAGGGCTCTACAAATACACTCCTGAATTAAGGAACTCTAGTGAGATATAAATAACTGTACACTAGACAACTCAGTTTGCCTGTTTTGTAACTGCAAATACACTATTTTCAAATTATAAATATAATTGGAAGGATTCTGTGGTAGAATTTAAAAAAGCAAATAACTTCTAAAGAAAGAGAATGAATGTATTAATGTGATCTTTTGCATCAGTATTCAGCTTAATCAGGAGGTGTAAAATGTTTAAAGTAATCCTAAAACATGGATTAAGGTGAGAGTAACTACAACATAGACAAAATGCAATAAATATGAAGGAAATATAAATTAAGACCATGAGATTTTTGGAAGCAGGAGATATGACTCAGTGGTAAAGTGTCTGCCTAGCACACAGAAGGCCTGGGTTTGATTCCCAGCACCACAAAAAAAGAAAAAACAAAAACAAAAAAACCCAAAAATGACTTTTTGTCTATTCCAATATTGAAGCACATTCTTTAAAAAGTTCTGGGCAATATTCTTAATGTTTAAGTGGTGGTGAGAAAAAATGCCTTGAAATTAACCAATTTATGATGTCTATAATCATGAATTAAGTAGAATTAAAATCGATTGATGTAATGTGAAGTAGAAAAATGTAATTATGAATTGCAATGAAAATTATGGTTCAAAATGTAGATTAGAAAATGACTGTATATTAGAAAAGAAAAAATCTGTGGGATTGGAGAGTGTAAGAAGGGAAAAAGGAAAAAATAGGGGAAATAAGTACAAAGAAAGGAGAACATAAAAGAGGGAAGAAATACACCCTCTCTTTCCAAATTCATTCTGGGATACCTTAATTTAAAAACTATTTCCTCTAAAGGGATTCAGATGGCAAAGTATCTGTACAGACAGCAGATCTCAAAATTGCCCAGTAAGGATAATGTGATTGATTACGAATGGAGTACCCATGAAAACTGAATCTCTTGGGTTCATTTACCTTAAAGCTTTTATTTTATTTCCAAATTCAGTCTGTATTGTTGCCCATATACGACAGTGAGCTAGGTATAGGAAGGGGATATGTACATAATTGTGCATGTATACATATATATACATATATATATATATATATATATACACACACACACACACACACACACACACACACACGTACACAGAACAAAACTGTTGAAACTAAAAAGTCATTAGGGGAAATTTTTTTAATTTGTTTTAGCAAGCCATGAGGAAATAAGCATTTTCATACACTGTTGGTCTAGGTAAAAAACAGTTAAAATGTTCTACAGCTACAGAAATAGGGTGAAGTGCATGGAAAGATATTTCAAGAATGGAAGAAATGGAAAGAATCCAGGTTTTCATGTACAAGAAACTAGTTAAATATATTTACACATAGCTTTACATAGAAAAAGTGTCCAATGTTAAATGAAGGGGAATAAAAATCAGGTTGTAAAACAGTATGGTTTTTCCTGATTCCATTTTTATAAATAATTTGTTACGTGTATGACTATGTACATGAATTTAAAGTCAGAGGGTTGAGAATATTCCAAAACACTGACATGTTTTTAGCTGATAATGTGATAGTAAGTTTTTTTCCTGTTTTTGGTACTGGAAATTGAACTCAGGACCTTGTGCTTGCCGGGCAGGTGCTGTGCTACTGAGCTATATCCCTAGCCTGTTATTGAGCTTTTTCTTAATGCACATATATTTTAGTTTTATAACAAAGATATATTACTTTTTAAGTGAAACACATTTTTTGCTCATCTATCACCATTCTTTAGAACAGAGTAATTTTTAGAAACCTATGTTCTCATATGTAGTTGCAATATTTCTATCACAAATAGAAATGGTTAAGATACCAGATGAGGCTGTTTAAAGGCTTTCTACAGTGATTTCTAAGACAGTGTCTTTGGACTTTACATGGAAAATGCTATTATGAAGACTCCTCCACATTTCATAATCTAACAGCTAACTAAGAAATCACCTTCAAATTTTAGTTCGTTTAACATAAATACAAACTGATTCATTTAAGAGAAGAAACATCTTTTTAGAGGCATGAAATATGCCACGATATAGACACATTTTTCTTACACAGGCAGTGACATTTTGTTAGTTTGCATTCATTTTCTCTAAATAAACTAAAAATTTATATATTTTCCTGAATCATCAAATCTCAGTTTACTCTTCATCTGTGAGACCATATCACATATAAAATTATACTTCTTCCATTTTAAATAATGTTTTCATGATAAATTACTACTATAAATAGTTATACTTTTAGTTACTTTTTTCAGTGGTTGACAATACCTGCATTTTATTCAATGTTTGGACTTATGAAAGCTAAAGCAAGTAACTATTTAACTAAACTACATTCTATGTAAAAAAGAAAAAAAGAATCTGCTATGAAAATACTGTCTAACCAAAAAATTAGGGCGATAAGTCCAAGTTTTCTTCTCCTCAATTTAACTCCACTAACGCATATAAAAGTCTCCTGGTTTTAAGGCTAAGAATTCATTCAAAATAGGACTGTTTCCTGGAGGCTTGGGTATCGTTTTTCTTAAGAAAACCAAGATAGCAAAAATAATTTATGTCTCAAAAAACCAATTTTAGAGGTATTATCAATAAATTCTAAGATTATTGTGAAAATCTAAACAGATTTTAGCAGATAATTACTGTAATGGATACTGAGAACAGCTCAGCTTGCAGAATTACTTTAAAAACACAAATGATAGCTCAAATCCTAGATAATCATAGTAATCTTTAGTGCTTTTTTTAGTTATGATGCTTTAGCAATTCATTATGAATAATTAAACATAATGAACATGGTGCAGTCAACTCTAAAACAATTTTTTCATTCTCAAATATAACATGTTCTATGCATTTAGTAGCAAAATTTCATTTAGGAATGAAATCAAACTACATAATGACTTGGGTGTGATTTTGCTAACAATTAGAAAAAGTATTTCTATATTTAGTCACTAAGTAGGTAATATATTTAGATGTATCAAAGATTATCTTGAAAAACACAAATATACGCCATAAATATTTTAAAAGGTTGTATATTTAAAGCTAATTGTTAAAAGATGTACCTTTAAATAATCCTCATTAAACATAAATGCATCAATTTAAGGCTAATATCAAAGCAATTCAAAATCAAAGAAACAAATCACACTTTCAAAGTAAACTCAGAATATCAATAATCTTCGTAGGAAAGTTTGAGTAAGTTTTCTATCTTGAACTTTATAACAAAGATCAATGCTAATTCAGTAAATTTACTTATTTAGTCATAATCAAGTCAGTGCTAGATTGAGATGATCTTTTTTTTTATCACACAGTTTTAAAAAAAACCAAAAAACTGAAGCCTGTAAAATTTTGTATTGATTTTAATGGTAATCTCCAAGTATCCTATATTATAAAATAAAACCTTATACTTTGAAAATTAAAATTTTTAAGAATAAAATTTGTCTTTTTCATTTCAAACAGTAAGAAGAAAAACTATAACAATAAGTATAACAAAATGTTTTTGCGTATGGTGCTGGGATTGAAGCCAGGGCCTCACTCATGCAAGGCAAGCACCTACCAATAAGGTGCTTACTGGCACCTTATTTACATTTCATTTTGAAAGAAGGTCTCATTAAATTGCCTAGGCTGGTCTCTAACTTGCAATCTTCCTGCCTCAGCTTCCCCAAAAGTTGGCATTACAGGCACCACCACCTTCAGCTGTAACTGTTTTAAGCTAACAACACATTTTTAGTTCTGAAAGTGAAATGGTAAACAAAAGAAATTGTCAGAGAATGAATCTTGTCTTCTACATTCATATTTCTTAAAGTAATCCTGAAAGGCATATTCTTGATAATCAAGATATTTTTACTCACTTTTAAACAGGATTTATGCTTTAAATCACTGCTTTATAGTATGAGAAACTGTCCAGCTTACATATCTGACCAAGTGAATATATTGTCCCTTTGTGCTTAAGGAACATGTTGATATGGACTCTCACATTGGCATTATATTAACCATTTTTACATATGGATATTTTTAAGAGGGATTGTTTGAACTTCTATTGACATTCATCCTTTTCATGTATCTCACTTTTCCCGCCTTTTAATCTCACATTTGGAGCACCTGATCCACTCCAGCCTCCACTTTATAACATCCAAATCACTGTTAGTAACTAAGTGGGGAAAAGATCCTAAAATGGCACCTGGAGCTTTTCTCTTGTAACATATCCTTGATATCAATGGGCCTTATCACATATTCCTTTGTCATGAAACTGGTTCTCTGCTTGACTACCTTTCAATTATTTGAGTTATGATTATACTTTCACTTGTATTGTCCTATAATGAAAAGACCCAAGGTCCCCCAAAAGACTGACGCACAACTTGACCTCTAAATATTATTTTCAAATATTTCCATATCAAGTAAAAAGACTTGCAATTCTTCTTTCTTTTTATGTCTTTTTTGTGTGTGTATGTGTGCTGGGGATTTAATCTAATGTCTCATGTATGCAAAATAAATATTATTAAGCTACATCTACAACTCACAAAGAAAAGATACTTATTTTGGGCTGCAGCTACCTTTTCTTCTCATTCCCCACAGAATTTCAAAAAGAAAGCTGGTACATGCATAGTAGGTACCCAATAAGTACTTCTTAAGTGATTTTTTGTTTGTTTGTTTGTTTGTTTGTGGTATCAAACTCATGACCTTGTGCTTGCCAGTCAGGCACTTATGCCAATGAGCTAAATCTTCAGCCCCAAGTGATTTTTTTCTATACTGTCTTCAGTTGTATTCTTTATTATCATATTATTATTCTTAAAGAGTACAAATTCTTAAATTTTAAAAAGTTACTATATTCTTCGGACAGTAAAATTACTTTGTATAATACGTAATGATGGGTACATGTTGTAAATATGTCAGAATCCTAATGTAAACTATGGACCTCTTGTGACACTGATATGTCAATGAAGGTTTGTCAGTTACTTCTACTTTGGTGAAGATGCTGATAATATGCAGAGAGGATTGTGCATGTGTAGGGGCAGAGGGTATATGGGAGATCTTTACACCTCCATTCTTTCTTGTTATCGACCTAAAACTGCTCTGATAATAAAATTATTTTTAAAAAGACCTTAAAATCAAAATGTTAGGAAATCAGATGTGGTTAATATAAGCGAAATACAAGAATTATAATATAAATTGTAGTTACTTAACTTAAAAGTTTTCTAGTCATGAAAACCGGCTCTAGACATTTCTAAAATATATACTTTTAAAACTTTATAAGAAATTGTTTCTTAAGAATTAGTTACCTGAGGGATAACAATATCTGCTAATGCCTTTGAAAGCCTATATAGTTCCATTGTGTCTTCTAATTTCAAAGAACCATTATGCTGGACATCATATTTTATACAGTCATATATGTCAGGAATCTTACTAATATCGTATCTTCCATTCTTTGTTTTAAAGTCTTTCTCCAACTTGGACCATCTACGCAGCATAAGCTCTAAGGTTTCGCTATGGTAAAGCTGAATATCTAAAACAACATAAAAATTGTAGTACATTCAGCTTAAAAATCTGATTAAGAATATATTTTAAAATCAGAGTATCAGAAACTTTAAAGGTTATAGAAGTAAAACTATAAAAAGCTAGAAAGTATTACGATAGGCATTTGCCATTAGCAATCAAGTATTTTTTAGTCTTAAATAAAACGGCATAAAAATTTGGGTTGAAAACTATATTTTTAAAGACCAGTTCTATGTTTTAGACTTTACTGTTAGTTTTACTACATTTCTATAATTAAAAAAAAAAAAAAAGGAAGAGTGCCTTTAGCAGAAAGGAACCTTGGAAATTAAAAACTGTTCAAATTATACGAGTGCATTAGTAAAAAGAACTTAGGATACCAAAGTTGCCCAGGTGTTAACCAAGCTAATCTCGGAGCCAGAACTCTGAACATCATTTGATCCTCCTTCTTATGCTACCCATGCACTGTGTAACTATCTAATAATACTAAATAACTAATCAAATGAAAATGTTCCATTGTTTTCATATTATCATGGATAAAAGCACCATAACTGAGCTATTATTCCTTTGCTGCATACATACTAATTCACACTGTATGTTGATCTTCATAGAAGTTTGATTTCTTAAACTCACATTGACATTTATTTATTTTATGCTATAAAAAGCATTTTTTACCTGATGATTTTGGATCTTCCATTCGATGTCTGATTTGAGAAGTCAAATTCTGAATCAAAGAATATACTTTGTCACAGGTCTTCACAGGATTTTTAATTAAATGCATTGATTTGATAAGAGAAATGCTTCCAGATGGAGTAAGCTACAAAGGAATAAAGTACTTATTTTATAACTGGTTATGACTAGCTATCCAAAAGAACATATGAAATTTTCCAAAGTTATTCCATTCCATAAATTAAAATGACATTTATAATATGGTAATAAGATCAAGGAGAAGGTAAAAGCATCAGAATTCATGTTATGGAAGTAATGAAGTTTAGCTACCAGTAGATTTGATTACCCATAAAGAAAATCTGGCAGTGGTAACAGACTTGTAACATGAAGATGTGGTTTTAACCACCTGACATATATTTAGTGCAATTTAGTGCAAGATGTGGTTTTAACCACCTGACATATATTTTAGTGCAATACTAAACCTCTGTTATTATCACCTTTTTCCAGATGAGATATCTAGATCTGAGTGTAAGCAACTCGCTTAGGATCAAATGACTAATACATGAAAGAATAGGATTCAAATGCAAGTAGTCTGACTGTAGAACTCATGTTCTTAACCACTAAGCTATGACACCACTGAAATAAGTTCTTTCTCTATTCAACAAAAGCCAGCAATATGTAATACAGTTGCAAGTTCCAGTTTTGACACTTAGCTTAGCAAGTTATTTACCACATGAAGGAAGTTCCTACAAAAATAAAAAATGTAAGTGGAACTCCATTTCTGGTTATGGTAGACTAGGTAGCTTGGAACATTCTAACTGCTGAACGTAAGTAAAAACCCTGGGGAAAGAATTTCCGAATCCTGGTTTTAATGGAACCCAAGAGATAAGTTTAGGATAGCAAAACTAGATGAATGACCTACACAGAGAGAATGTTTTTGTCCTGAATACACTTCTTGGTTATAAAGAGAAGAAGGGTAGTTTTAATAATCATATTGGGCTAGAATGAAAAATTGGTGCTCAAGTTTCACTACAAGTGGAACTCTGCTAAGATCTTACAACCAGGGTTGAAACACTTGAGGACGAATCGGAAGCAAATCAACCCACCACCAAACTGCAGACTGGGTTACACTCAATTAGTAGACCTCAAAAGATCTGTTTTTAAAACCGATTTAAGGCAATCGTAGACTACTAGGTTCACAGCCACAGCAGAAACATGTTGGGAGCCGCAGCCCCGAGCCCGGTCGCCTCACTTGGCGGACGTGAGGCCTGTAGTAAAGAGTAAAGCCTGAGGTAGATTACCCCTCCCATCGAGCACGTTAGTTTCCTGCTTACCGCGTAAGCAACCCGCTCAACAATATAGTCTGCCTGGCAACTGATGATGTTAGCCAATCAGCTTGCCTTGCTCACTTTAACATGATTGGACACTGTATCTGTATATATACTGGTGCCACCCCTGGGGGGGAAGAAGAAGCCCGGAAGTAGAAGCCCAGAAGGAGCCACGGGGAGCGGACCAAAGGAGGCTTCGGCTGGGAGCGATCCCAGGGCAGGCTGTACGGAGAAGAAAAATAAAAGAAAAGGTTGTCCACTGCCAGACTTTGTCGTGTGTCCTCCTGCCGGCCGGGAGCGGACATCGACATTTGGTGGCCCGTACGGGGACTGATCACCCCCGAGACGTGACAGCGGACAACGCTCCAGTACAGAGCTGCGAGACAGGTGAGTTGGGGATAAGCCTGGGCTCTGGGTGGCGCGCACCTACAGGGCTTTTAGACTCCCCTCAGGCTCACGCGTAAGTGGCGGATTCCTTGGGCCTCACGCGGTGAGTAACATATTAAAAGATGGGAAACATGCTAGGTAGTAACATTAAGAGCGAGGGTGGTTGTGGAGAAAGCTCTCAAGAGCTTACAAAAGTACGCAGGGTATTTGAGCAGGCCCAGTCGGGGAGCTCCCGAGAGGGGCCCGTCAAGGGGAACAAAGATGCTAAGGAGAAGGACGGGGCTCTAGCCTCGGAGTCGTCTGACTCCGAGGACGAGGGAAAGTTGAATGGCAAGGAGGCCAAAGAGACCAGCTGTCAGGAGCCTAAGTCGCTCGATAAGGAGTCGCAGGGTTCTTTACCTTGGGGGCTGTTCCCGGAAGCGATCCCTCGCCACGAGGCGGCCGCCCGGGAGCTCCCTTCCCCTTCGCCAGAACAGGAAGTGATGCACGGGCCCCCATTTTCCGCCCAATCACGGCCGCCGTCCTATGCTCCGCCGCCGGCGGGTCGGTATTTTTACAGGCGGCTTTGGCAGGGGGGACGTTTGTCTCATGAGGTACATCCACCACCTGGGATAGATAGTGGCCCCTACGGGATATTTCCTGTACAAGTAGCTATGGGCCAGGGACGCAATGCATGGGAGCCTTTTGAGATAAAGCAGATTAGAGAACTTAAAAATGCAACCTTTGGGCCGACTGCGCCTTACACCATTGCCATGCTGGAGAACCTGTCTTCTGGGCCCCTCACCCCCGCGGACTGGATTCAGCTGGCAAAGGTGTGTCTGCCCTTGGGCAGTTACCTGGATTGGCGAGCCTGGTACGCAGAGTTCTCTGCAGAGCAGGCTGAGAGAAACGCCAATCGGGGAAACCGGGGGTGGAACAAGGAAATGCTTATGGGAGAAGGTCGGCACGCTGATGATCAGACTCAGTTCCCCGGCGCTGTCTATGAACAAATCAATGCCATAGGGCTCCGCGCCTGGAAGCAGGTAAGTGGTGCCGGAACAGCCTCCTTGTGTCTTTCAAAAATAATTCAGGGTACCACAGAGCCATTTGTTGACTTTGTGGCCCGAATGCAAGATGCTGCCGATAAGATATTTTCTGATCCGGGAGTGGCTCGACCGCTGGTAAGGCAGCTGATTTTTGAGCAATGTACAAAGGAGTGCAAGGCAGCGATAGCTCCTCATAAGAACAAGGACCTCAACGCCTGGATTAGGATATGCAGAGAGATAGGGGGGCCGCTCTCCAACTCGGGGGTGGCTGCTCTCCTGGCCGCGGCTGTACAGCAGAGGGGACCTCGCGGGTTAGAAGGGGAATGTAAGGCTAAAGGGTGTTTTGCCTGCGGGGAGCCAGGACACATTAAACGTCATTGCCCAAACAATACAGATGCTAGGCCTCGCCCTAGGAATGAAGAACCATATGTTTGTGGGCGATGCAAGAGGGGATCACACAAAGCTGAGGAGTGTAGGTCGGTCTTTGATGCTCAGGGCAACCGTATTTGTGGACGAGATGCTAGAGAGCCAAAAAACGGCCAGAGGGGGCCCCCCTCACAGGCGGGCCCCCGCCCCAGAGACAGGACAGCTCAGGATGGCAGCCTTCAACAAGGGCCACCCCTGGGTCAGCAGGTGTGGACCTCAGTGTCGCCTCCAGACTTATACAGAAGGTCACCATTAGGACGGATGGCGTTAGGACCCTAAATGACATGCAAAAGCTATTGGGAGACATTAATTGGATTAGGCCATATTTACATATACCAAATTCAGATCTCAAACCCCTGTTCGACCTTCTAAAGGGAGACCCAGATATAGCCTCCCACAGGAGGCTCACTCCTGAGGCAAGAGCTGCCTTACAGAGAGTGGAAAAAGCCTTAGGTGGGGCTACCTTACACAGAATTGAACCAGGGCGACCCTTTGATGTCTGTTTGCTACAGACTAGTCTACAGCCCACAGCGGTGATTTGGCAGAAAGGACCATTACTGTGGATACACCCTAAGGTCTCACCTGCAAAAGTCATAGAGCATTACCCGGAGGAGGTCGCTTCATTGGCCCTTGAAGCGCATGATAGAGCTGTCCAACATTTTGGCTCAGGACCACAAGCCATCCGAGTACCCTATACCGCCAGCCAGATCAAGACCCTGGCTGCCTGCATAGATACATGGGCCATTCTGAGATGTGTTTTCCATGGGGATATAAACAATCAATACCCTAAAGACCCTATCTTGTCATTTGTCACTCAGCACCCTATAATTTTTCCAAAGGTTACTGCCTCTGAGCCATTAGTCCCAGCAACTACAATATACACAGATGGCTCCAAGACGGGGATAGGCGCCTATGTGATCCTAGGCAAGCCCCCGGTTACCATACAATTTGAACCTGATCAGCCTCAGGTGGTGGAACTGCAGATCGTTAAAATGATTCTTGAACGGTTCTCAGAAGCCATTAATATTGTCTCCGATTCTAGGTATGTGGTCAATGCTATGCAAGTGCTTGAGACTGCCGGTTTAATTAGATCCACTTCCACAGTGGCTGGGCTGTTCCTGTCTATCCAGACATTGCTTCAGAACAGACACCATAAGGTCTTCACCACCCACATAAGAGCACATACATCCCTGCCAGGGCCTATGGCACAGGGGAATGCGGCTGCTGATACTGCCACTCGCCCGTTATGGATTTTTACCTTACTAACACCAATCGAGCGAGCCCGTGCCTTCCATGATAAGTTTCATGTCAATGCCAGGACACTAGCAAACCATTTCCATGTTTCCAGACCAGATGCACGAGATATCGTGCGACTATGTGACTCCTGTGCCACATACAAACCTGCCATACCGATGGGAGTAAACCCTCGAGGTTTGATCCCTGGTGATGTTTGGCAGATGGACATCACACATATACAGGAGTTTGGGACTCTTAAATATGTTCATGTTTCCACAGACACCTGTTCTCACGTCATTTTTGCAACAGCAGAAACAGGTGAAAAAGTGTCTAATGTGATCAATCATTGCCTGGCGGCTTGGGCCGCATGGGGCAAACCAAAAATATTAAAAACTGATAATGGACCAGCCTATATAGGCAAAGCCTTCAATGAGTTCTGCAAAATGATGGAGGTTCAATTAAAACATGGTATCCCATACAATCCCCAAGGTCAAGGAATCATTGAGAGGGCTCATAGAAGCCTCAAAGAAATTTTACAAAAACAAAAAGGGGGAGTAGGCCAAGGCCTGGCCCCAAAGGCACGATTATCCATGGCACTATTCACACACAATTTTTTAAATTTAAATAATGATAATTGCTCCCCAGCCGTGGAGCACTGCAACCCTTCCCCCAACCATAAAGGGTGGGTGAAGTGGAAAGATGTCCTGACAGGACAATGGATGGGCCCGGATCCAGTGGTCAGCTGG